CACAGAGTATCCTTGGTTTTTTTTTTCCAAATGAAGAACCACACCCTCTTCCAAGGGGAGATAACTAAGAAATAGTAAAAATTAGGTGGGGGTATTTTAAAAAAAATTTCTCAAGAACCATTGGGCCAGAATAGATGGAACTTATGTGAAATCTTTCTGACATAATGTAGATTCAAGTTTCTTCAATTTATGACCCCCGGGGTAGGGTTGGACCACATGTACAATGGGCGATCAAATTTTTACGTAGAAATATTTTGAGATTTTTTTTTTTAAATCTTCTCCTCAAGAACAGAAAATCAATGATAGGTGATTTTTATATGGAATCATCCTTGGGTAGTCATGACCCCGGGGGCTAGGGTTGGGTCAATATGAGTGAACAAAGTTTTACATAGAAATATATAGGGAAAATTTTTAAAAATCTTCTTTTCAAGAACATCAAAGCCATGATTGGTGAAATTTATTTGGAAGCATCCTCTGGTAGTGTAGATTCAAGTTTGTTCATAGCATGACCCCTGGGGTTAGGATGGGCCACAATGGGCGATCAAAATACATATGAAAAATCTTTAAAAATCTTCTTCTAGAAAACAGCAAAGGAATGTTTAAAAACATATTTATGTGGAGGCATCCTCAGGTAGTTTACATTAAAGATCGCTCAAATCATGACCCCCAGGGGGTAGGGAGGGTACATAATTGGTGATCAAAGTTTTACATGAGAGTATATAAGATAAATCGTTAAAATGTTCTTCCCAAGAATAGCAAATCCATGATGAGTTATATTAGTTCAGAAGCATTCTCAGGCAAGGCATATTCAAATTTGTTCAAATCATGTCAGCTTCGGGTAGTTCGGGGCCACAAATATAAGATCTAACATATAGAAAAAAACTCTTCTAAAGCCATGATTAGTCAAAGAAATATGAAAGCATCCTCAGTTGGTGTAGATACAAGTGTGAATAAATCAAGCCCCTTCCCTTTCCCGGGAGGATGGAGGTGTATGTGATCACTTATATACTAGTATTTAACCTTTCCAATACTAAACTGATTTCTGCTTTTTTCTAGCCAATGTCTTCAAGTGATCGATGTGGCCCATCGGCCTCTTGTTCTGTTTGCTCCACAAAAGAGCCACATACAATCAACAAATTTTAAAATCATTTTTTCTTTATTGGTGACCTACAAATTTTAAAATTGTAAATTTTTCTTCATTATTGATTTACATACAAGGGTTGTCCAAAAATTCGTGGATGCATTTGTTGTTGTTGTTGTTGTTGTTGTTTACAATAATGACACTGCGACAATATTTGAGTATGGACCACTAGTGATTTATATATTAAATTCAGAGCAGTGCACAATCAATTACGAATGTATTCATTAAGCCAAAATAACGTCATGATTTTCGTCACAAGAATGTGCTCCTCCACTTCTTGCAACGCTAACTTCTTACAATAGTCAAAGAATTCAATAGGTCGTAATAAATGCGCAAGTCTGGATAAATTTTAGAGCACAAACAGATGCATAGATTTTTATTTTCGTAGCTTCTTGGCTTTCACTAAATGCAACCTTCATTAAACAGTAAGATTATAATGTAAAAAAAAAAAAAAAAAAAATACACACACGCAAAAAAAAAATTATTTTATTCACGGCGAGTCATTTTATGTGTTTTGGACCTCGAAGTCAATATACTGATATTTTGTTTTAATTTAAATAATTTCTTATAACTTTGTATATATGTCCTATCTAAGTTTAAAGTGTTTTACATATTTAAATTTTAAAAGCATACCTCTTTAATAGATATTCACCAAATTAATTTATACTGCTTCCTCAAATAAAAGCAACAAAATTCCCACTAATGCAAGTAAAGATATATATGTATATCTGCATGCAACACCACACAGTATCCCATACTTGTTCTCAATATGCTAAAACTGTCAAATATATAGATTAATGACCTTTAATTGGGTTTGGTAATTGTGTCATGCTTGTGGAATATCTATATAATAGTTTATTAAATATAATATGAACGGACTAATCCGCTCCTTTTATCAAAATGGGAAACACAGAAGCAAGAAATCCATGGTACTAATGCGCTTAGAGAGGATTAGGGGTGAATAAGATTGGGGCTCGTATGCCATAGATTAAAATATTTAGAAATATTTATTAAAAATGGTCGACAAGTTAGATACCAGTGTAACATGGACGAAAATGTAGTTCTCTTAAACAATAAACGTTCTCCATGACGAAAGTTGACAAGCTGAATTTTAAGTTCAATTTGGATTTGGGTGGATTATCAGATTCAGATGATAATGAAACGAAAACGGAGAAAACGACGGGAAGAACAGAGAAAACGGAGACCATAGAAAATGACGAGCCGCCACCAAAAGCAAAGAAAGACAAAGAGAAAACTAAACTCTCCATCAAATCTCTGAAAGATCCTAATAAATTCGTCACTATTGGAGGTACGTTGTTTGTTACATGTCCAAAACACGCTTACACACACACACACATATACACGCACTTCGGTGTTGCATGTGACTTCTGGTAATTTCAAATTTCTAAATTATCTTCTTGTTTAAGTGATTGTATTTTACTGCGTTTCCTTTGATTTTTTTTGTAAGATTATACATTGGTGCATACCATTTACCCTATGTAACTTCATTTTACCAGATAATGTGTATGAAATGTCTTGCAGGCATATTTTCCATATATATCAATAAAAATCTATTTATTAACTATAAATCTGCATTATGAATTTAAAGTAGTTATCATGCAGATTTTTATTTATATACATATAAAGAGAAAATATGTCAGAAAGACAATAACCTTAATATGAAGTATACTAGTATATTTTCTCTTCTTTATACTTTTTCAGTACGGATTCCACTGCAAGACATATACATGTACTTGATCTTATTTTGGTATATAACCAATAACATTGATGACAAAGCTATATTTTGATAACAAAAATAAATTAAAGAGTACATATACTCATAGTCATTTTATAGTATCGGTTAATTTTACAAATGAATTTTATTTTCAACTGAACTGTTATTTCACCTTGATGAATACTTCATCTTTCAATTAATATACCAATGCATTTATGGATCGAAATTTCAGCTATGATAGATACAAATACAAATCCAGGATAAAATTGAGCTGTGAAACATTGAAATCAGTTTGAATACTCAGTGTAGTTGTTTATTTGGATTTTATGTTTATTCCAAATTTTATGGGACATTGTGAATGTTTTGAGAAGATATCGCCACCGCCATTAGGAACATTAACACAGTTAATCCTGCAATGAGATTCTTTCCACGAACAATTCCACTTATGATATAATATCCTTCATATCTACTTAGTTTTAAAATAAATGTATTTGAGACCAATCCTTTGAGCCTAAATGAAGAAAATTCCTTGAAAATAACTGGTATACATACTTAGAACCTATTATATACATGTATAGGAATATATATTTTTCAAAAAGAGGTGCGACCGAAAGCTGAAAGCTCTCACCTACATAACTTTTTTAAATAATATTTTTAGTGATATTTATGCAATGCATGAAACAAATGCATACATTTTACTTTTATAAAACTTATCAAGAAAATTATCTGCCCACGACTGATTTTTCAAATGTTATATTTAAGATATCCAAGGAAAATAAGATAATTTTTATGTAAAATCGGGTTTTGACGACAAAAACATAAGCTTTAAAGAGCTTTTTACTCTCTGTCTCAATAATAGTAATATTTCCCAGGATAGAGAACTCTTTCGTGCTTGGAGATTATTGATGTACAGGTTTGCGATATAAATGTGTATGAAAATACATATTTTATCGATATCATTTTATGCTAAATATTATTTGTATGCAATATGCTATTTATAAATAAACGGTAAAATGTTAGTGTGTTTCCTATGGCATGAGTTAAATTAAAATTTTTTAAGATATATGTTTAAATTTTATTTTTATAAACTATTAGCATAAATTGATCTTCTTTAAAAATTTCAATTATAATTGACTACATGTACCTTTTGTACAATATCGGTTGTCTGTCCAGTAAACACCTCTTTCTGTAAACTGGGAGGAGGGGGGATCAACATTATCTTTTCATGTTTTCCCTTCATGATACACACTTCAGTGAATTCTTCGTTGACAGGCATGTTGAAATCAAAGGGGGGGGGGGGGTCCGATCCATCTTAACAAAGGTATGATAGACTTTTTTACTGTAGTAAAAAGGATATTGATGAGGAGTTGTATTTTCCTTTTAAAAACCATTTGACATACAGTTATAGAACATACGGCTAATACAGTATTCATACATTATTTTCATTATCTAATTAAACTTTTACCCCAAAACAGAAGGTGAAAAAAGGGTCCAATATTTTGTAATATCCCTATTCCCTAATATGTTCATCCAGCAATTTTAAATTAAACATTACCAAAGCAAATAATGAACAAAATATTTTCCATTCTTATATTTACTTATCTTTAATGTTTACATGCACAGAATTGATGAGTGATGATTTTTTTCCTAAACCAGATTGTCTATCTATAAACAGATAAGCAAAGTCGCCATAGCAATTATGTAAACTACTTTGATGGCGCTAGATAGCAGACGAAACGTTTACAATATTCTTGCGCGTATTGTGATGAGATCTTTTATATAAATAAAAGATCAAAAAGAGATGTTCGGTTTCAAATATCTGGAAATAAGTTTATGTAAAAACTTACGTTTGTAACGTTTTATTAAGTGTTTTTCTCGGCCCGTCTCGACAATATTTAAGGGCACCTGTTGGGGGTCTCATACAGGGAAACTTTAAATAGGATTTACGGAATCAGTCGCTGGTAAATTGCTACATCCAAACAACCTGTAAATTAAAAAAATATTAAATATTTTTTATAATGCTGATTACGTAGGATTAAAAAAATTGTGTTCCTAATACTTTTTTTCAAAATTCACGTGTCGCCAGGTCGTCAAAGCGTTTGTGAAAATAGTTCGGCCTATTTGCAGTTTGACATGTCGAGTGTTGTCACAGACAGTTGAAAAAATATGAATGAAACGGAATGGTACCATCGGAAGTGTTGTTACGAATACGTTGGATAGATTTTCTTGTGTTCACTTGGTTTAATTGTGGATGACATCCATTTTGTATCTGGATGAACCTAGTATTACAGAGTAAGTTAACGTAGTCAAGTGAAACAACAAGAGTGCAATGAACATTACAGTCATATATGTTGTCTGTCATGTTGTAAACACTCACTCATGTAACTGGGTTTGTCCGTTAATAATATTTTATTATAATTAACAGATTTGATCTTTAATTTTAGAGATAACTTTTGGTGTCGACGTCTGTCTGCAAGTTAAGTGCATTTTTACATCAGAGGAAATTCTAGTTATTTTCAAATGTGGCCCATCTCTTTATCCACTGTTAACTGGAGGCAGTTTTCCGGGCAATTCCCACAACTCAAGTAATTTAAAACAAAGACGTATTTGTTGAAGTCAGTATGGAGGTTCCCAACTAAATTGATTTTAAATCATTCAGGGTTGTCCCTAAGAATTGAAATAGGAGGGGGCATTAAAAAAGTAGAAGGGGGCTCTGGGGTTCCTCCCCAAACAAGGGGTTGAGGGGGAATACCAGAGAAGCTGGGGGATAACGTGATTATAGGCGGGGAAATTCCCCAGCTGCCGAGTCTTAGGGACAACTCTGTTATAGAATGATGTGTGGATAAATCTCTCAATAATTCTATAACTTTATACATCTGTATCATAGTCTCATAATTCTACTTGCCCTCTCAGTCGAGTGTCTATTTCTATACAGTTAAGTAGGTTGCACTTATCTTAAGTTCCAAGGAGGAGGGGGGATAGGAATCCTGGTTTGGTCCTTCGTATGTTCTTTATCTATGTACGTTGTATGACCCTACAAACTTGCTATTGGCAATAGCCCATAGGAGTGTCCAGTCAGAGCCTTCATGCTGATGCTGAGCTATCAAAGGCTTAATTTAGTCAGCCAGATGAGGTATTTAACAGACAAGCAGGTTCATCATAGCTATGTGGTCATACATACCTTGAAGAAATAGAAATCAAGATATCAGAGGATACATCAGGATTTGAGTCCTCAGCATGCATAATCTAACTCAGGTCCATGATCCAACACATTTTTATTCTCTTATTTATAATACATCATACTTTACAGTAGTATTTTTATAGTAAATTTTAGCTTGGTAAGGGTTTTCACCACAAACTGGATTCATTAATGAAATTTAAGGAGAATGTCATAAATGATTTATAATTATCATACGAATTCCAGATCAGTGAACGATCAAGTTACATTTTTTGAGTTTTTTAATGATTTGAGCAGTTTTATTTTTTTTAAATATGTTTTCATGGTTTAATTCATGCAATTATATGAATAATGATAGGTGATTTCTAATTGGAGTAACTTTTGTTAAACACAAAACATGGAGGGCTAAAATTAAGAATTCTGGCCTTCACAGTTCCTGGCAAAATGAAAACTGATAGTGTTTGTAACTTAATTTGATTTCAATGATTGTAAATATATATATTACATGTATTTTACATATACCTCTGTGATTTTTTTCTTTATAAACATATGATGAATAAACCTGCTTTTTTTCTAAACAGCCCCTTCCATGGAATAGTTTTCGTGCTATTTGCAGCCCATTGTGAATTGGATTTGACTATTCGCTGTAGGATTCCATTTCCCTTGCATTTCATATCAGAACTCTTCTGGTTTTTATTCATCTGAATCATGACATGACACAAGTAAAGTCTGCTTCAGTACAATAAAAAACCTATTTATTGACTATTTGGACAATAGCAAGTTTATCATCCCCCTCAACAGAAACTATTTCCTTCGGCTGCGCCTCAGGAAATAGTTGCTGTCTTGGGGGACGATAAACTTGCCATTATCCTTATGGCCAGTAAATAGGTGTATAATATTCTGTTATGGCCATAATCGTCCCCCCCCCTCCCCCCCCCCCCCCAAAAAAAAATGAATTGTTGGAAAAATCTCTAATTTTCTTTTTTTTTTTTTTTTTTTGCTTTTACTTTGAGAACTTTTTTTGTATACCAGTAATCCAGTTTTATTTCATAAGAATTAAACAGCTCATTTTTGGGCTCTAAATCCTTTTTGATGAAACACTACTCTTTATGTACGACATCATAATGATCATTACACAGATTATCTTGATTATACCATACTTATTTCATAAAGTCTTAAACTCTTCATCGAATTTGTTGAAATTGAAAGGACTTTGTAAAATGCAAGTAACCTAAGTATAGGGAAAAAATGTTTTCCACTGGTCTAAATTTTACTTGTTCATAGTAAATTTCCCCCTCATTGTTGATTAGGCAGCCAAGCTATTTCTGCAACCTTGTCATTATGTTGCAGTACATTCCTCCTACTTATCATATAGACTTGTAATCATATACAAGTATATACCTATTAACCTGTCAGCTTTAAATAATGTAGTTATGCTTTGGTAAAAATAGTATCCTTACATGATACTATGTTTTGGTTAAAATAGTATCATTACATGATACTTGTTATTGCATCATTGGTCAACACATAAAACAAATTTCTGTTTTTTTTTCCAGAATACCGAATCTTAGGGAAAAAGGGTGAAGGGACCTTTTCCGAGGTTCTAAAATGCCAGCACTTAAAAGAAGGCTCTTACTGGGCCTGCAAAAAGATGAAACAAACTTATGACAGGCAAGTAGCAAAATTCACACATGTGATCAAGTACTGATTTCTAAAATTCCAAAACATATTAATCTTGTTGTGATCCTCAAGATAAGTATTAAATTTGGAAGGCAAAGCAAATAGGTTCTCTTTCCTGTCAGTAAATCTTTACCTTAAAGAATTTCTCATAGAATGAAATGCCATATTGCACTTTACTAAATTTTTCTTTACACAGGTTTGCATTTGATCATTATTATTTTCACACTTCTAAGCAAAATTTGTTTTAAATTTGCATATTTTTATTCATACCTTTAGCATGCTTAGTTGTTTAAATTACAAAACTATAGTTTTGTTAGTGACATACCAAAAATAAACCAAGAGAAATAAACCAATTTACACTAATTCCAGCTAGCTAGAATGTACATATTTTGTATTCCTTAGAATTTTTAGTTTATCTTACACCTTGTAATTTTTGTGTTAAGGACTCCTTTGTTTGATATCATATTAATTATCTTCTTGCTGACAAACAGACCAGGATCATCAAACATGTTAAAGTCCTGTTTTTCCTGTTTGGATTTTTATCAGCTTTTCTGTATAAGGCAAACAGAAGTTACTAAGTTGTTGTCAAGAATGTCAGCTATCTATGTAAATGTTTAGTCTTTGATAACGGACATTTGCATACAAGTGACCATTAGAATGACGGCTAAATCTCAGAGACAGCAAATGGATGAAAGAAAGAAAACACCAATTTCTTATTGGATAAATTTGAAAATTATTGAGTTATATTAATTATATTAATATTTAATTTGTAGATATAACTAGAAAGGATTGTGTACTAATGCTGAAGTTATAATTTCACTTATTGAGAATCTGCTTATAGACTTAAAAATTGTAGTATAAACACTAATGATCCTGTTGATATAGAATACACTATTGATACAAAGTAAAATGAAGGATTAGGGAATGACTGCAACCTTTATTATAGATACATGTAATTAAACTATCATGCTAACAACTTACGAAACAACATCCATTAATGGTACAAATAAACATATTACATGTATTTAATTGCAGTTGACTAATATGTAGATTGCTATCATGCTGGGTATCGTTAACAAAAAGGAAAATTTATATCATCTCCATTACTTTGGAACTTCTTTCCATGTGATTACATTATAAAAAGATATTATTTAATACATGGTAGCTGATTTCACTGGATGTTTGAATTGTCTGCCTCTTAGCCTGTCTCACTATATTGATTGCAGTGTCAATTTGTAGACCTATTTGTAAATATGAGGCATTTAATAATTCAATGGATTCTCATGTACACTTTTCATATTTTTTATGTTTGATCAAACTGGTAATCCTTAAAAACATTAAAAGAAACAGTTCAAAATTTAAGATTTAGTTCATGCATATATGGTTAATTGGATGATCGAATGCCATGTTTATTCAGACTGAGTTATAGAATTTACAGAATGGCAAAGATCCAGTCAAGATTTTGGCCTTTGTTTAAAGTCTGAGACCTTACAGAATTTGTACTATCAGTGTTAGATTGATCACATCAGAGGGAGGAGTTGACAAAAACTGCATGCTTCCTTTAATACCCCAATCAGCAGGTACTGTGTCTGGGTATCCAGCCCAACTTAATAACCTTGAGAAACTGACACTAGCTGAATTACTAGTTTTGTCTTGTCTTTAAACATTTAGTTTGATTATCTGTAAGCATGTGAAGTTAGTATTAAAGAATACAGAAGCAATGGTGCATCATATATACATTGTATAGTTTTTTTTTTGTTTTTGCTTTAGTTCACATGTCCTTGGTGAACTATTGCTGCAATAGGGTTCTTTAATTGCTGATTTACTATTTGGTCCATCTTTGGTTAATACAAACAAAATGTATGCACATTTTCATATTTATATGTACTAGTAGATGAGAGCATTTGATAAAACAGAAGACCAAAAAAGTTATTGTATCTTCAGTTGTTTTAAATCGTAATGACTTTTTTGTGAATTCTAGAACATATGCATGTTTGACCAAAAAGGAAGTCATAGACTTTCTTTCCTTTAGATATTTTTCAAACTGTAATGTTTAAAGTATATTAAATGAACTTTACGTATCTTGAAGTCTATAAACTTAAAATATTGACACATGGTGGGATGGATAAAATTAAACAGTATTAAGTGCCATTTCTGGGGGGAAAACTTATATTTAATTGAGTGCCATATTTTTCTTTTCTTGAATACTGGATAATACTTATAACATCCCTTTTTTTGGCAGTGATTAAAATGTGTTCAGTTGAATTTAACCTTGTTTATATTTCTTTTTAGATTCTGTGGATTAATTGATATTTAAATGTTGCATATATTAAAATAGTATAGTAACTGCCTGTTAATAGTTAGGGCCTTTGAGCCTGTCTATATATATGATCAGTCATTTTTTGAATTGTCAAATATACCTTTTAATGAATCCCAACTCACTAAAAGTGATACTAGTTGAAATTGTCCATTTTTTCATGTAGAAATCAAATATTTGCTGATTTATTGCTAAATAAAGTGAAAATGCAACATAATTGTTGGGGTTGGGTTTCTCTTATTAAGTAAAAAAATTTTTGGAAGAAAAAAAAAATCATTCTGTGTTATTTTCTTTTGAGGTATGATTGTTAAATGAATATTTAAAAAAAAAAAAAAAAAGAAAAAAAAAAGAAAGAAAAAAGAAAATGTAGTTGGTAAGAATTTTTCACTCAAGTTGAGATATCACCAGCTTTAGGTGAATTAGGTGTTACAAATTTTGACTTATGCATAGGTCTTACAGGTATAGTGGTGACCATGTGATTGATCTCCATCATGCAACCACCCATTGTGACATGGTATTTCTATTTTTAAGGTCATTTCAGACAGACCCATGACTTAATTTCACTTTTAATGCCTAACACTTGGCTATAAAGAAGTAGTATTTAGTCATTAGCAGGAGTGAGGTTTAGGTAATCAAAGGACAAAACCAGAGTTATTATAATAACATATTTGTTGTACTCGGGAATAGGGATGTAACAATATTGATATACTAGCTAGTATATCACAATACACAACTAAATTCTACCAAACTGTGGTGTATCATGATACATAACAATTTGGACAATTCTTGCTAGTTCTTTTTAGCTTAACCTAAAAAAAACTTATTTTCCTTGTTTAATTATGCTGGGGTTTTTTTAGATCTATAATTATATGTTTCATATTATGTATTATTTAGTGAATTGAAGAAATAATCTACAACTTTTATCCTTTCAAATTATGATAGAGAATTTCTCATTTCAGAATAAAGTGACACAAATAATATAAAAAATTATGAAAGGTGAAATAGCACAGTATGTATCTTGACACAAGACCAATGTATCATGATATACCACTATATGCTTTAGCTATATCATATTATGCCCTGGCCTACTCAGGAAGCAGATGGCTAGGAAACACAGTCAGTCTCTGGACAGTGAGTTTTCAAGATTGAAATGTTCTGTAGAAAAATATACCAGTTTTTTTTAAAATATAATTTCAATTTTTTACTTTTAAAAGATTAATTATAGTTTGCATTTTAGTTTTCAAGTATCTAATCCAGATTAAGCTGCAAATATTCTGCTGAAGTACAAATTGTCCAAAGGATTTACACAGAATAAAGAGACTCACTGACTGAAGACAGAATTCAGTGGCTACATGTATATAAGTCAAATGCCATAGCTCTGCATATTTGCACATAAAAGTCTTCATTTCAAGAGCCCTTAGAATTAAAGACAGATTGTGTTTGGGCTTGGCATTGATAAATCCCAGGCTTTCTTCTGTACTAACCCAATCAATAAATCATTTTGTATCAGATTTAATGTTTTCGTAATGGTTGCAAGAAAAAAGGATGGGATTTTTTTTTTTTTTTTTTTTTGCTTTGTCATGGCACTAAAACAATTATTGCTGTTTGCATAAACTTCTACTAGCATATGCACCAGTCACTTTTCTCTATAATTGATCCCCCTCTCTGAATGTAACCGTCTATTTAAAAGGTTTCTATGCATGGTGTTTAAAGTCTCTGCTTCTCTGCAATATCCTCATACAAAGGTCTCTAAGGAGGCCATAGTAGTCAGCTATTCTTAAAGGAAACATTCAAATATGTAAACAAATGTATCTGCTTTGAACTTAGTTGACACATTTAGTCACTCTAATTTAATCATATACAAAAGAATTTCAAAATTGTTTCATTAAAATCTACTTCATTACAGATAGTGATTCAATGCTTTATTTTTTTTAAAAGAGTAGACTTAATATAATGTACTTAGATAAACTAATTATAGGTACATAAATCTGAAGGTGGGTTGAGAATGGCCAAAACATTGGAGGAATCAACATGGTATATATAATGAAATGCATTGGCATTCACAAAATGAACATTTTGCAGATTGATTAAATAAAAATATGGAACTAAACATAAGATTAAATATTTACTTCCTGTGAACATTTTTAGTAGTGTTTTTTTCCTCAATTGCTAGAAATGGTAAATTTTGTGAAAATAATTTTTTGTTTTTAAATGAAAATTTATGGCATTAATTTATGGATACTAATTAAAAAGTTTAATATGTAATAATTTGACCTTTTTTTTTAACTGTATTTTCAAGTCAAGTTTCGAGGTGGGGCCGAGATCTAAGAATATTAAGTAAACACTAAAGAGTATACAGTGTAGGTTACTTTTGCTCCACAAATATTACTGACAAGTGGTCCCTTAATTAGTATATCTAATCAATGGGAGCATCCCTCATTTATATAAAATATACAGGGTATGCATAAGGAGAAATGTATAAACATAGCTAAGAACTTAGGACCAATGAGGAGAGTAACGAACATACGGCAGGATCTGCCTGTAACTTTGACATTCAAATCTTATCAAAGGCATAACTATGCAATCATTGTACATGTAACTTTGACAAACATAGGGTTTTCAGAGTCTGTGCCTGTAAGTTTAACTTTTCAAATTTAGACAGAGGATGTAAACTTGTGTAAATTTGACACTCAAAGCTCATCATAGGATATGAGAGTAACTTTGATATGCTGCAGAGCCAGTTTTGGAATTCACATTCAAAGCTAATCAGAGATATAACTTTAAGCACAGGAGCTAGTCAGGGAATGTTTATTTAACCACTATACTCAAAGCTAGTCAGGAGATCTATATACTTGTAATTTTGACACTCAAAGTCAATCAGGTATACTTTGTACTTTGACACTCAAATCTATAGTCAGGAAACATTATATAACTTTGACAATTAAAGCTGGTCAAGGGATACAATTGTAGCTTTAACACTCAAAAGTACCAGGTTAAGTCAGGGTATATAATGCAACTTTTTTTACTCAAAGCTGGTCAGTGAATATACATTTTACTTTATCACTCAAAATCAATCTTCAACAGTCAAAGCTGGTCGGGGAATATACATGTAACTTTGATACTTTAAGTTGGTTGGATACATATATAACATTGACTTTCGAAGCTTTGTTGTCAGGGGATACTCATGTTTAACTCTGACACTCGAAGCTGTCAGGGATACATACATAACTTTGACACTCAAAGCTTCGTTGTCAGGGGATTCTCATGTTTAACTTTGACACTCAAAGCTGGTCAGGGGATATACATGTAACTTTGAAACTCGAAGCTGGTCAATGGATACCATGTAACTTTGACACTCAAAGTTTGTCAGGGGATACCATGTAACTTTGAAACTCAAAGTTGGTCAGGAGATACCATGTAACTTTAACACTCAAAGTTGGTCAGGGGATACAATGTAACTTTGTCACTTATAGCTGTTCAGGGGATATAGGTGTAATTTCAACACTCAAAGTTTGGCAGGTCAGATTTAGTTGTACATGCAACTTTAAACCTTAAAACTATAGTGCAACAGGGAGATATGCATGTACTGGTAATTGAGAAACTGTGTTTCAAGGCATATATATTTGCATGCAAGGAAGACTATCATTGTAAATCCGAAGATATAACTTTGATAGGTATATACAGGTAATTATTTTAGAAGTACATGTACATCTTAAATTTTGAACCCAATGCATGCACTTCTTTTAACATGTAGAGATATGCATTAGATATAAAGAATACTTTACAATGAATGACTATTAAACTGAATAATGTTATACATTTGTATTTATATAAAAACAAGCTATTATTGTACAGTAACTCCATCATGTGATGGCTGTCCCATTAGACTACGAACAGTACATGTTATTAATTTCCAAGTTTTTTAGTATTATAACCTACAGATTAGAAAGTATAATATATTTTGACCAAGCAAAGTCTGCATTATATGTTATTAAATGATCAGGAATTTTGATGCTCTTGGTCCAGACTCTCTTTCCTGAAATGTCAGAATGAGCTCACCTCAAAATGAAGTTCAGGGAGGTTTATTCATATTTTCCCTCTTGACCAACAATACATAAATTTGTTAACATTTTTATGAAATTGCTCATTCTAAAGCTTTCTGTAAACCAACTATTTATATTTGCGTCATCTTTGCAATTCATCAGTTTGAAATCCATCTGTAACTACATGTACTAATTTTCACGACTAAGCTAGGAAACATTAACAGAAACTTGCAAGCAAATAATTGGTTCGAGGAGAGAAATATTTGTGAGTAGAAGAATTTTAGGGTGCAAAACTTGTGGATATTTCTCACACGCTGATAAAAGTTGGTTTACAGTACGACATTGTAAACGTAAATATGGTAATGCAGACATTAACGTATCAGCTAAACCTCTTCATTGGTAAATGATTGAGTACCTATGTATTGTTTTATATTATTTTCCACCTTGTTAAATACTGGTAGTTCTTAAACTATAGAAATTTAATTATGATATATTGCTACGTACATTATATATTATATTAATATGAGTGTTTATATTTGATGGAAACAATAACTAGTGTGAAAAATGTAGTAAAAGATCCATATAGTCACAAGAAGATTTCATCAAAAGTCTATAATTTTATATCAATTTTTTGTTACAGTTTGGATCAAGTAAATAACCTAAGGGAAATTCAAGCCATGAGGAGACTCAGTCCACATGCCAATATCCTGGAACTCCAGGAAGTCATATTGTAAGTTATTTTATTGTGTTCAGTATGTTGAAGTCTACAAGACAACAGCTTTTTATTAAGTCATAGATCTCTGGCTGCCAAATTCCATATTATTAGGTTTTATTAATGAGGGCAAAGGGTTGAACTGAAATTATGGTGATAATAAATAATTTATCAGGAAATTTGTTATTTTGAATTTTTTCTTTTGTGTAATTTGTATAAAAAACAAAAACACATTTTATTTCAATAATGTTTTAGCATAAATTTTCAAGGTGCACTCAATTAATTTAGACCTTTTTGGATGATATAAGAATCTGAATTTTTATAGAGACTTAATATTAGAGCGAAATTACCATTACTAGCATGCATAGTATGAAACTTCAATTAAGTTAATCATATATGTATTCTAATGAAGTGTGGAAGGAAATTAATTCTTTTCATTAATTGGTAATACATATATTTCACAGTGGCATGGATTTATTCTTAGCTGATAAATGATCAATAAATCACTAAACCAAATTAGAGAGCTTAATTAAATATATACCTTCTTAAGGATCCAGAAATGAGTCACAATAAGCTTAAAATTACTATCGTTAGGTCACTTAAGTCACTTAGGTGATATATTCTTATCTCTTTCTGTGTGCAGTTGTGCTTCAATCAGAAACTTTTGAACATTATAATTTTTGTTTTCAGTATTGGCTTATCTAGTTTCATTCAGTTTTGTATAGCATCTATGGATAAAGGGGAACAAAATTTTGGTCTCTGGATATTTGGAATCTGAAATATGGGGACAAATTCATAAAAAAAATTTATGGAAATTGTCTTATAATAAGCCATGATCAAGCCCTTTATAAGATTCCTTGGTCTAGTGCTCATACCTCACTGCATGGGGTTAAGTTGGTCTTTCATTGAAAATACATTTGACGTTTTTTTGATCACCTAAGGTAAAAGCTTAGGTGAGCTTTTTTGATCTGGAATGTGCATGTTTCTATGTTTGGCATTAACTCTTCAAATTTTCATCTCCAGAACCATCAAGGCTTTAAGAGCTCAAGTGGCATCTTGTTGAAAATAAGCCTTTAATTTATCAATCATTGAAATAAAAAATGAGGGAACATATGATTTATGATACTCATGACTAGAAGATCCAAAACAGAATTTTGTTAAGTTCATAATTCAATGATAATTTTTTTATGCAAATATTTTTTTAAATAATGTTATCAATGACTTTTAAATCTTTATTACAGTGACAAGAAATCTGGTACTCTAGTCCTAATATGTGAATTAATGGATATGAATATATATGAATTAATACGAGGTATGTTGACAGATTATAAAATTATTTTTTAAGGAATCATTAATGAACCGGCTTTTCAAATGTACTATGTTTAATTTATGAAATATCTACATATTAGAAGTCTTGAACTTTAAGCTTTAAAAGAAAGCAGGTTTCCACTTGGTATGAATGTTCTGTGTGTGCATTGTTTCTCATAATTACTGTACTAGTTGTACCCAGTTGTGGTCCAATTTAAGGCGAAAGAACATGAGAAACCCCCATTTAGGGAGGGCTGCTTTGATTATGTTGTAAATTATTCAGAATATGTCCATCTGTAAAAGATATCAAGAAGCACAAGGTACCTCTAAAATTGTTCATTAAGTACATTTTAGGCGTGCTTCACTCTCAGATATTTTATGTATTAGCTTATTTTATTCATGTAGATGAAGCATTTTGTATGTTGTAACGTGAGAAAGACAGCTTTGTCTTAAACTGGGGCAAAGTATTGACTGGATTTTTTTTATTGATCAGAAATTAAGTTTTCATCAACTGCTTTGTTAATGTGAACAATGCAAAAATATATCCTTTCCAGGTATTTTCAGAAACTCATAAAAGTAACTTCATCAATAAATTTGAATATAATCAATTTTTTTTATTAGCTCACTTGACCCAAAGGCTAAAGTGAGCTGATCAAAATGTGTCTATTTTCTGCACAGTCCTTGTTGTTTACATCCTGGTCATAAACTTTTCACATTTCTATTCCTTCTCCAGAACCATTGGGCCAATTTCAGCCAAACTTGCCACAGAGCATCCTTTGATACTTTATCTAAGGTAAATTTGTTCAAATGAGGGGGCCATGCCAGGAAGATAATCAAGAAAAGCTAAAAAATAGGGTGGAGTCATTAAAATGTCTTCTCAAAAACCAGTAAACCAGAAATGAAACTTATGTGAAAGATTCCTGACATAGTAATTTACTATGTCAGGAATCTTTCACATAAGTTTCATTTCTGGTTTACTGGTTTTTTGAGAAGATATTTCAATGACTCCACCCTATTTTTTTGCTTTTCTGTAAAGATTCAAGGGTGATAAAATCATGGCTTTTAAGGTGGGGTTTAATAAGTGGATAACAATTTGGGAGAGGGGAGTATTTAAAAAAATATCTTCTCAAGAACAGCAGGGCCATTTTTTAGTCATAATAATGTTGCAGATTCAAGTTTGTTCATATCATGGCCCCTAGGGGTAGGATGTGGCCACAATTATAGAGCAAATTTAAGTTTTACCTGGAAATATATAGCCAAAAGTAAGTGCTTTAAATATTGTCTATTCATTGACAAGAACAACAAGGTATTGATAAGAGATATTAATGTACAAGCATCCTTTTGGTAGTGCAGATTTTTAAATTTGGTTACAGCAAAAAGTAGTGGTTGGGGTATAATAAACCTAGGCTCAGAGGTTTAGGTGGTATCACAATAAGGATCAAATATTCACATGAAATATATAGGAAAATAATCTTTACAAGTCCTCTTCTCAAAAACAGTGCAACTATTACTCATTTTAATAGTCTGCAAGCAAATTTATTTGTTCAAATTCTGGCCCTTTGAGCTTGGATTTGTCTAAAAACATTTATACGGGAACTTATAAAATATAATTTTGAGAGGGGTTGTGTGTCACTACATTAAGTTGATATGCAAACATGCCCACATCATGTGGATTCGTTTAAATTCTGGATGCTTGGAATTGGGCAGGGCCAAACTGAGGATAAAAATTTTACATAATACATACAACAAAGAAAAAATCTGTTAAAAAAAGTGGTCATTAGTCATTATTAGAATTCCCTTGTTGTGTAGATTCAAGTTCAGTTAAGTGATGAACTATTGTGGCTAGGGTGGGGCCACAATATGGAGAAAATTTTTTAGGGAATATACAATAGAAGGGAAAAAAAACCCAATTTTCTGACAGAAGAACTAAAGTAACTCAGATGAGCATTGTGGCCCCAGAGCTTGTTGACTGAGATAGTACATTCTGAATTTGAATAAATTTTAACTAATTATCCCGTGCAACAAAGTTGAAGGGATCATATATATAGTAATGCACTTGTGAATGCGTGCGTAACAGAAGTGATGTATAATTTACATCAGGATCAATGGCAATTCTTGGTACATGTTGGAAGGGATTGATGGGAATATTAATCCTATTATGAGTACATGGTAGTGCAAAAAAAGAACCATGTAAAAACTGCTAGGAATTTATTGAAAATAAAATTGTGGATATTGAAATACTCGATCTTCTTGAAGGGCCATAATAAAACCTGACAAGTGAACATCTGTGCATATTCCTCAGAATTTTTTTTTCTATTTTTAGGTTTTCATATTTGAATCTGTAAAATTCTTAACACTGTTTATTTTAGTGTTGTAAAGTTTAAATGTTGAATCATTTGACTTAAACCTTGGTTGATCTGTCAGAACACTAAGTGTTGATTTGAAGACATTGTAAGATTTGATATCCCAGAGATTGGTCTGTCTGATTTTGACTTTGTCTTATCTTTACATACTTATTCAGGGTATTGCTCAAGAAAAGAGATTACAGAAATATGCATATATATTAGGTATTGATTACATCAATATGCCAAATATTGATTTTGTGAAATAAAGAGAAAGAAAATAAGAGAACTGTAAAGGTAGCTGGGTTTTCTGTCCTGTTATGTGTTTCTATATCTCGAGGTGCCTTGAGGAGGTCTTGACAATGGATTGATAAATAGAAAGTCATCTTTCCAGGCCTTGGTTTAGAAGATTGAAAAACAAGCACTTAAACTGTTGAAGCAAATCTCACCTTTGAAGGTTCCCATCACTTCCTCTATGCTGACAGACACTGAAATTCATTTATAGTTAACAAGTATTGATAGTTCATCCATCCTGGCTACTTATTCATCAATATGTTTATTAGCAAAAGGATCATGATTATATGTAAATTGCCACAAATTACCAATGAGCAAGAATCAGTCCCAAACTGTCATTTTTGGGGTCTTTTTCTTAAATTAAATTATTTTATTTTAAAAATTACCATGGAGATTTTAAATTTACATCCATTATTATAAAGTTATAGTACAAATATAATGACCTTAATCAATTAGACCCCAATCTGCTACAAAAGTACAAAACATGTTTAGGACCTCTTTGGTAAGGGACCTTGTATAGATCTGTTTGGCTTTCCTTTCTCTCCCCCTTCAAGTCAGCTGACTCCCAAAATTCAAGATTCATATGATAAATTTGAGGGATATGGCATCACCAGGTGCATGATTTGGATTGGAAAATATATATGGACTGTATTTATTATATACAGGTTTTTCCAGTCAAGAGTAGTTGAATGTGCACAAGTGCTTGAATTTGGGAACTACAAAATGAATGAATTTTGTGAACTGTTTAAAGGGAAACACTGGTCTCCTTCTTTCTGATATCAGTGTCATGTTTGTCATATTTAAGTACCTTGTAGTCGAAAAAAAGGTTAAGGTACAGACATTTTATTAATGCAGACATCCAATTCACATTCAACTGTAATGTACAGTCAAAACGATTTAACATAAACCTGGTTATAAATCACTATTTTAGTTTCAATATACAAAGTATATTGTCTAATGAAAGTTGATATTAACATGCCCCAATGAAAAGAAAAATAATCTATTTTGAACAATTACAAGGTATTTTTGAAACCAAAAAAAAAAAAAAAAGCCTTTATAATTTGAATTTATGTTCCTTGCAATTTAATGAATACTCTATCCAGTATCTTCCTATCAACAGTTATAAGAAATCTAAACATTTGATGTCGATTTATGAATAATTTCAGGAAAAAGACATTATTTACCTGAGAGAAAAGTCAAACATTATATGTATCAACTTCTTAAATCTGTTGAACATATGCATAGGTAAGACATAGACATAGCACCTGGCATTAGTTGCTGCTTGGAGCACCAGTTTATCCTATCCTGCACTGTAGTAAACCAGCTTTTTGTAGATACTGTGTATACAAATAGTTTTATTCACCCATCCCTCCTCCCCCTCTTTTTGTGCACTAAATTGACCAGGACTTTATCAAGTGTTATAATTGTCACAATGTAATATTTTATATTTTAACTTAAAGATATGTTACAACATGTCAAGTACATGATACTAGAGGAAAGTCAGACATTATCAGATACATAAAAAAAAATATTACAATGCTGAATCAAATGAACAGTTGTATAAGATTTTAACGTTAAACAAGATAACAATAAACAGCTAAAGTATTGTGTAAAAAATCAATTTTCAGTAGCCTTGTATTAAGTATAATTCTACAAAGTAAATCTTCTGAAGGGCAATAGATAAGAAAATTTTGCCATAAACACTGTTAAATGTAATTTAAATGCTTATACTTAGAAAGGATATCATTTCAGTCTTGAAATTGCCTTTAAAGTGGGTGCAAAGTGTCATAAAAGTGAAATAATAAATCAAAGAAAAGATCAAGTCATGCAGTTATCATTGGTATTGAGACACAAAGTTAGATAAGCAATCAGCGAGTTTCTCCTTTGTTCTGGCTATTTAACAGAGTGACCCCATCATGTGCTGTCTGTCAATTTCAATCAATTGTTGCACTCTTTTTCACCCTTTATTTCATTATCTAGTCACAATATACCTTGGTGATATACTCCTAAGCAAAGTTAATTAACCATTAGTATTTTTTCTATTTGAATGGTTTGTGCAAAATTTAATTTTGAAAGGGAGTTGGGTGATTAGATCAGATTATACAAGAATATGTCATCAAGATATGTTGACTTTGGATATTCAGATTTCTTTTTCTTGCAATACAATGTAATAAAAGAGCAATATGATCTCAGTCCATTTATATCAATTTACAATAAAAAAAATCATTAAGTAGTGAATCGATAAATGATGTGGAAAAAAAAAAACAGTTACCAGAGACAAGATTTTGTTATATTGCTCTTTTCTGCTTTATTATTTAGCAACATCACAGTCAGTGGGTAGTTACTTTATGTGTGTGTTTTCTTTTGTTTCACCCTGTGCCTGAACTTTCTTTCAGACAAACGTCACTATCTTCCTGAGAAAACTGTTAAAAAATACATGTTCCAACTTTGTAAATCAGTTGACCATTGCCATAGGTAGGTAAAGGTATCAACTGCAGGAAAATCATTGAAAAGCTGTTCCATTGTTACATTAATGCTTTTAGCTATTTTCTCTTTTCTTTTCTTTTTTTGGAGTTACTAACTAGTACTGATTAGCCAAAAATTAACAATTGAATGTTTAACATTTGAAAATGATATGGCCTGTTTGAGTAGTCTTTTAGATTCGAGGTATCGAGAAAATCGGTCACCTACTGTACAGTTAAACTTTGGTATCTTGAACATTGGTACACAAAACACTACAGATATGTCTAAGCAGTCATTCAAATCTCAACTTCAAACTCTCTTTTAACGGTTTTGTCATGTTCAAGATAAGAGAATTTGACTGTATCCCCTTTTCAAAAAAAAATTTGTGCTTGCATGGTCAGTTTGCTTTGTTAAATTATATATTTTTTTAATGAGAAGTGTTTAAAGCTTGAAAATTTTAGCTTGCCTAATCTCTGAGACATTTTTTTTCAAATTTTAATTCTGTGCATAAAGTGACATTTGTATAAAGACAATTCATCCCAGTGATAGATGGTTTTTAATTGATATTACTCCAAACAATAATGATACCTGTCATTTAGTATTCTTATATGTTTAATAAATATATAAATATAAATGTATCATTCCATAAAAAAGTGTTCATTAATTATCAAAATACACATGTACCAGAAATTTGTATATCTGTTCAGCTTTATATAATTTGTTGGAATCGGTGGAGTTACATTTTCTAAAGAGATAATGATTTGGATAGAAAATGCAGTAGAATTTAGAATACTATTTTCATAAAGAAATTATTTGGTATTCAGCTGCAGAGAAAGAATTTATTTTACCTATGAAAATCAATTTCTTATTTGTAGAAATGGAATATTTCACAGAGATGTAAAACCAGAAAACATATTAATACGGGTAATTTATTTTATTTTTTTTTTTTTGATTTAAGTCATTTTCATATTCACATGTGTGCATTAAACTTCAATGAATATTTGATTTGAAAATGTGAATTGACATATGTTCTGCCTATGTCATCATGCTACATGTAGTCACAAAGAAAATCTTGTGTTTTAGGAGGATGTCTTAAAACTAGCAGATTTTGGGTCTTGTCGAAGTGTCTACTCAAAACAACCTTATACAGAGTATATATCAACTAGATGGTTTGTATAATTCATACTTTTTTCATACTTTTTCTTGGCTTCATTGTAGTTCTTTAAAGAATGTACTATGATTTTCCATAATGGTCATTATGGTGTATTTTGAGGGGTTTATGAACATACTAGCTATCACAAAGTACTCTTTTTCAATACGTTCTATTTCCATTAGTGAACTCTTCAAAATTAGAGGCGTGTTTGGTCTTCTGACAGGGACAGCATGGCGTTGCGGATAATACAAAACATGCCAATCTCAATCCAATTTTTAATGTTAAATGTATTTGTCATTCCAATTAAAGAATAGAAGAACTAAAAGACATATGTAAGAGAGCGAGAACCCTAAATTTATCATCCATTAGTAAAAAATACGACATTTCCGAGGCATGTGTATTGTATTTAGATGTACCATACGATAAATAGATACATACGATCAACAATAGATATAAATTGATATCGTTGTTATTCCTACTCTTGATGTATATAAAGTCCATAACAATAAAATATTTCATTTGCATTTTCTTAGGATTTGTTCATCGACATTCAACATATTGTTTACATGTTTATGTTACATTTGTCCCTGAAATCCTGCGAGATTTGTACATTTTCCGACTTTTTCACAAAAGAGCACACTAAGAAGTATAACTCTTCCATAGTGGAAATAAAACTGTCAAAACTATACAAAGCATAATGACAGATGCTGGATTTGCAGAGTTATTAAATGTATATATACTGAAGGAAATAGAAAATGCCCATATGGATATATAGATATTTGATTGCTTACTCTTCAAAATGTGTACAGAAGATTCTTTTTATCTAAAATATTTATCATAAATATTTATATGATAATGTTTATCATTATTTGTAATAATTATTTTATGAGAAGTTGTGTACATGCCAAACAGCATAACTTCTTCATTTCATATGTTGAATACTATCATTCAGTAAATCAAAAAAATGCCAAAGAAAATAAAAATACGGGATCGTCTGGGAATTGGAAAAAAGCGAGAATCATACCCCTAGACCAATGAGGCACTTGACTTCAAAGCAAATATATGCATACCGGTATACACATTTGATATTGTCAAAATTTTACAAAACGCATGGTGTCTAATTTATCCTGTACTAAACAGTTCTTAGTAGATGTAATTAGAATATCAAGTCCGCTTACAACCTGTTTATATGTAATATCTCTCCACATGTGCTAAAAATAGTGCCACATGACTTAATACAAACGGGGAGTAATTCTAAAACTTTGAGCGTGATTGGTGCCAACAAATTTCTTTTGAGAAAAAAATGACCAAAATAAAAAAAAACAGGATGGGACACTTTGAGAGGGATGGGCTCAGAAGCTTCTTGAGATATTGCCTGGAAACAAAGGTGTTACACACTGACAGAATGTATGAATTTACAATGTGATCTTTGACCTTTTTAATTTCAACTAGATGAAATCCCGAGCAAGCGCGGGGAATTGAATTTATACCACTAACGACAGAAATTATATAATTGTAGTTTCTACTGACAGCCTACAGGCTTATAGCAGGAAGATATACTTTGTTCAAAATCCCGCATGAAGTAGATGAATGTCTCCACTCCCCCCCCCCCCCCCCTTTCTGTAAAAACTTGAAAAATAACAATTTCGTTAATTGGCGTTTATTGTGAAACCTGTTATACTGTGTTATGGACATTGTACTTCAGATGCTCTTATTTCATTTCCGTCAAGGATAAAAAAAAGCAGCGAATATGCACATTTTACTGATAAACTGCATGATTTTTTTTTCGGGGGGGGGGGGGGGGGGGGGGGATTCACAAATACTTGGGTCTTGGTTTATAAATATGTATGTACCTTATTTATACGTAAAATATGTAGTATACTTTTTTTTTACATATCAATAGGGAACATACATATTTATAAACCAAGACCCAAGTACGGGGTCTTTGTAAAAATTAGTTTTTAACGCCCTATGAATAGGCCGAGTATTTGATACAAAAGACTGTATTCAGAAAAAAACCCTGAAATGTATTGATTAAAGCACAACATTTTACACAGCTTTAATTGTATTTGAACAATACCTTATTCATTAATTTTCTCTTTTCATGTTAGCTAGTTTATTACGAAGTACAAATTGTACTTCTGGTTCGTTGCCACGATGCTCTCAGTAAGGAATACATGTATATAATTATAATTTTACCGATAAATTTATTAGAAAAACCTACTACATACATGAAATAGTCTTTCAATATATAAATATATTCAAAACTTATAGTGTTATTAATGATTTACCATTATTTCAATGACCATTCATACAAAAGTTGTTTTTTTTTTAATGATCGCCTAGTTAGCTCACCTGAGCTGAAAGCTCAAGTGAGCTATTCTGATCACCCGTTGTCCGTCGTCCGTCCGTCTGTAAACTTTTCACATTTTCAACTTCTTCTCAAGAACCACTGGGCCAATTTTAACCAAACTTGGTACAAAGCATCCTTGGGTTAAGGGGAGTTTAAGTTGTTAAAATGAAGGGCCAAGCCCCCTTCAAAGGGGAGATAATCAAGAAAAGACAAAAAATGGGTGGGGTCATTAAAAAATCTTCTTCTCAAGAACCACTGGGCCAGAAAAGCTGAAGCTTATGTGGAAGCATTCTTGGGGAAGTGTAGATTCTAAATGTTCAAATCATGACCCCTGGGGGTAGGGCGGGGCCACAGTAAGTACTACAAGGGAGGGGGGGGGGGAATCAGTTGAAAAACAGCAAGGCCAAAATTACTCAATTACTCAGGTGAGCGTTGTGGCCCATGGGCCTCTTGTTTTTCTTTTTAACATCGGGCGCGATGCTATATGATGTTCTAGAAGCTTCCGTCAATATTAAGATCGGTGAATGATGAAAATAATTTGCATATTTCCCTCTTTAATCGGTTATCACAACTTATTTCTTTTATATCATTTAAATCAAGTTTTGATTGAATAAATCAGTGATGACGTCTAATTAGATAATTAAATGATTGCTTGTTTTCAGTTTCATTAAAAATTGCCAGAATCTTAAATCCGCCAACCGGAAACGCCACCGTACTCACGTTTTTGCTATTTCATGGCTGTTTATAGAAAATAAAAGTAGACTTTTAATTTTATGAACGATACTTACTATGCGAGTGAAATCTAAATATAGTTTACGGACATCATCTTGTATCTAGTGTATTCATTGAGGTGTTAGTAAGAACTCTGGTGCACCCGTTTCGGAGTTTATTTGCAAAATTTATTAATTTATAAGTATAGATATCAATATGGTCTAGAAGCTTCTTTAGGCCACAGAGAGTTGTTATGTAAAACTTCATTGCAAAAGCTCAAAGACTTCTCAAGATATCGTGTGGAAAGGAAAGTGTTAAAACAGAGAGAATTTATGACCTTGACCTTTGACTTTGACCTCAAAATCATTAGGGGTCTTCCTTAGGCCACAGGAAGTTGTTATGTAAATTTTCATTGCAAAAGCTCAAAGGCTTCTTGAGATATCACACAGAAACGAAAGTGTAAAAACAGACAGACTTTATGAATTTATGACCCTGACCTTTGACCTTTTGACCTCAAAATCAATAGGGTTCTTCTTTAAGTCATGGGGAGTTGTTATATAAAATTTCATTGCGAAAGCTCAAAGGCTTCTCGAGATATCGTACAGAAACATAAGTGTTACAGACAGCCAGAAATACAGATGGATGGACGGATAGGCAGACCAAAATTAATATCCCCCACTTTCAGTGAAAGTGGAGGACAAAAAAAATATTCCAACATGCAGTTTTTATCACATAAAAAATGTATCATTGTAATTCAGAGAAAGAATCAAAGTACTCAAAAGTTCTAAGAGACGACCTCCAGGGGTAGAAACTCCCTAAAATTACAACTCGCAAATAATTGCGAGTACCAAAAAAATGAACTTGCAATTTCAAAAGACAACTCTCAATTTTAAAATGAAAGCTTTTTTTTTTTTTTTTTTTTTTAAAATGCCAATGCAGCCATCTATCCATCTTCTGAAAAACTTCATAATTTTCCACATGATCATCGGACATGACACATGGTCGCTCATTTAAAAATGACGAATATAAACAGTAACTAAAGAGAGAAAGACTAAAACTGAATTGAAATGGATTTTTCCTTCCCGGGTGAAATTTACATTGAAAAAAAATCAACTCGCAATTTTTTGCAAGTAACAAAATTTTTAACTCGCAATTTGGATATTCTAACTTGCATTTTGCAAGTTGTATATAGTGAATTTCAAACCCTGACCTCATTACCCATAGTGACCCTTTTACATAAAACATTATAATAAGTGAAAAAGGCTTCAATAGCATTTATCATAGCATCTATCATGAAAAAAAAAATGTCAAAAACTTGCAATGAACAATCTTGTAAACAAAATATCAAATTTATAGTCTATGAGCAATAAGCCCGTCTAAATTTTAGAAATACTGTAAATGTATTATCGAACGAGCATGTCTGATATTTGTAGGAAATTGATTTTTAAACATATAGTGTATATTTGATTTAGTGCATCTCTGAATGCATGTATATTCATGTACATACATGTATATGTATGACATTTAGCGATGTACTTGATATAGCAGAAGCTGCTCTCCACCCAAGGCAATAAATAGAGTATTCAGCCAACAACTACATCCTGTCATTGCATATATAGGATTTTATTGATTCATGTAGTAGAAGAGTTAGAGAAACATTTTAGTACTGTTAAAATGCTGCTGATTTAAAGTTTGTTTTATATTTTCTTTGAACTTAAAATTGAAGATAAGTCTATTTAGTCTATATTCTAACCTATAGATTTTTTTTTACATTTACAGAATAGTCTATTTATGTAGAATAATCTTGCAGACTTTTTGAATTATTTCCCTTGTATAGGTATCGAGCCCCTGAGTGTCTCCTTACAGATGGTTACTACACATACAAGATGGACATCTGGAGTGTGGGATGTGTCTTTTTTGAAATCCTTAGGTTAGTATCAAGTACATCTAAAATTTTAGATTATTATTACATTAATGGAAATATAAGAATATACAAAGTTAATGAATACCGTTAATGTAAAACATAGAGATTAAATTAAGAGAACTTCATTTTTGATAAATATTATACAGTTGAACTTTGGTATTTCTAATTCCAATATCTCAAATACCATGGATATGTCAAAGTGATTGGAAAGTCACATCCACTATTTTCTTATTGTATTTTAACCTCACTATCTTGAACCTTGGATATATTGAAGTTTTTTCTCTGTCCCATTGAGTTTGACATAGTGAGGTTTAACTGTACCTAATTAATGGATAAAAGTATTTATTTAAGGATAGGATTATTTTTTGTTGTAGTCTTCACCCTCTTTTTCCTGGTTCTAATGAAGTGGATCAGATTGCTAAGATTCATGATATAATGGGTACTCCAGAGGCTAGTGTCCTAGGAAAACTTAAAAAGTGAGTACTTCTCTATCTCACTGTTAAATAAATTGGCTGAATTTTTTTTTTTAAATGTGATATGTGTTTCATTTGTAAACATATGACCTTGTTAGCTCACCTGATCTGAAGGCTCAAGTCAGCTTTTTTGATCAAAATTTGTCCATTGTCTGTCATTGTTGGCGTTATTGTTGTCGTGGTAAACTTTTCACATTTTCGACCCCTTCTCAAGAACCAATAGGCCACTTTGAACCAAACTTACCACAAAGCATCCTTGGGTAAAGGGGATTGAATTTTGTTCAAATGAATAACCACACCATCTTTCAAGGGGAGATAATTAAGATGTAGTGAAATTTAATGACATCTTTGAAAAATCTTTCTCTCAAGAGATACTGGGCCAGAAAAGATGAAACTTGAATGAAAGCTTCATTACATAGTGTAGAATCAGTTTTGTTCAAATCATGACCCCCAGGGGTAGGGTGGGGCAACAATGGGGGATCAAAGTTTTACATAAGAAATATATAGAAAGAGTCTTTAAAAGTCTTCTTCTCAAGAATATCAAAGCCATGTTAAATTTATATTGAAGCATCCTAAGGTAGTATAGATTCAAATTTGTTCAAATCATGACCCCCTGGAGGAAGGGTGGGGGTGCAATGGGCGATCAAAGTTTCAGATAGAAATAAAGAGGAAAAATCTTAAAAAACCATCTCCTCAAGAACAGCAAATTCATGATTAGTCATATTTATACGGAATCATCATCAAGTATTGTAGATTCAAGTTTGTTCAAATCATGACCCCCAGAGTAGGGTGGGGTCATAGTAGGCAATCAATTTAAGTTTTACATAGGAAAACATAGGAAAAATCTTTAAAAATCTTCTTCTCAAGAATAGCAAAGTCATAATTATTTATATGGAAGCATCCTCAGTTAGTGTAGATTCATGTTTGTTCAAGTCATGATCCCTGGAGTTGGTAGGGGGGCAAAATGGACGATCAAAGTTTTACATACAAATATACAGGAAAGTTTTTTTCATTAATCTTCAACTCAGAAAGAACAAAGCTATGATTAGTCATATATTTATATGGAAGTATCCTCAGGTAGTGTAGATTCAAATTTGTTTCATTCATGACTCCTGGAGGTAGGATGAAGCCACAATATGTGATCCAAGTTTTACATAGGAATATATAGGGGGAAAAATCTGATGATGGAGAACAGCAAGGCCATAGTAACTCAGGTGAGCAATGTGGTCCATGGGCCTCTTGTTAGTATTATATTACTTAATGTAATACATTTGTATCTTACATTCATTGAAGTCATTAGAGATAAAAAGTCATGTTTTTCTAGGTATTAAACATGTTAAAGGTATTAATGCATCCAATAATTGTATAAATCACTTGTATTTCGTGTGATTTTATTTTTGTGACACATTGAACATGTAATTATTTGCAAGACTAGTAATGAATCAGTTATCTTTATAAGACAAGTTAAAAGCTTATTAAGAACATTATTTGTGCCTAGAGACAATCTTGCTTGATTCAAGTATATAAATTCCTCACAAATAAAATGTGATTTATAATATACAGATTATAAGGACTTACCAATATATTTGTTAAATGAAAATTAAATTAAAAATAAATGTAAAACTGTTGAATTTTGGTTCTTTTTTACACTTTAAGACTTATTTTCTTGTAGGTCAAGGGGAATGAATTTCAATTTTCCTTCAAAGAAGGGTACGGGTATTGAGCGACTTCTCCCCCACTGTTCACAGGAGTCGATTGACCTCATTTACCAAATGTGCACTTATGACCCAGACGAGAGGATAACTGCAAAACAAGCTATACGACACCCATACTTCAAAGATCTCAGGTAATTAAACAGATCCTTATCTAGGTAACATAGAGCACCAGTTGTTGTCAGATGAAAAATGTCTCTATAGTTTGTTATTGAATTAATGAGCTACAGAATTGATCACAACAACTTGTGAAATCCTGGTTCATTGAGATGTCCTAAGTACTTGCAATTTAACTAAAATCTACTCCAAAAATGATGGGTAAAAATGGGCTTAATGCAAAAGTACTGATAGAAATCTGAGGGCTTGATGTAAAATGTGGAGGATGGAGGCTCCAAAATGGAGATCGAGTCACAGAGTGCAAGGGGTGGAGCCTTTTATGACAATTTCAGCACAATTTTCCCTATTTCATTTTTCATTCAGTTTAAGACCCTAAAACCTAAATAAATCTGTCAAGACCTCATGGGTTACTGTGGAATAGCAGTGCAGGACATAAATCTTACTGAAGTATAGATGTTTCCATTGCACTCAGCATCTGTTATCTGAATTAAAAGCACAAGCTGCATGCCCCTTTTGTTTTTGATATCTAAAGGTCATTTTTTGGGCTGAATCTCATTTGTTGTTTCTCAATTATTTCTCATTCTTTGAAAAAAGAAAATAACATCAATACACTGGAAGATAATTTTGATGCCATTTCTGTTTCATTCAGTTTCCATTATCTTCAAACATTAAATCCAAAACGTAGTTGTTCCCCTTGCTGACATGTGAAGGTCATAACCATAATTGTTTCACTGTTTCCTGTTTCTCATTAACATGCTTCGTAAGATATTGTCAAATGGCCTACAGAAAATCGAGTTTCTGGATAAATTTGATTTATTCAGTCAACTTCAAAGAAATTATCTTTTAATTGTTAGGATAATGTGACACTCTAACAAGCTATCACATAAAATTAGAAATTGAGATGACAGATCTAATAAGCAAGTGCTAAAATTGCAACAAGTTTCTCTACCTTTTGCATCATCTGACTCAAGAGGCAGCTTGTGCCATGTCCCTTAACTTTCTGACTCTCCATTTTGGATCCTCCATCCTCCACATTTTACAACAAGCCAAATCTGAGCTGGAATTCAAAAGTTGCACTGTTTTGCATAGCAAGAGTTTTTAAATTTATCTGCCATTTGAGTATATACTTTTTGTGAGGAATTCATTCTGATTGTTGTGAGCACTGGTTTCTTGGTATGTCATGGACAAAAGGTTCTTCACTGAAGTACTTTACTCATGTACTGGTTCAAAACTTGTAACTTTTAACTGTTGTCAATAAAATGTCACTTAATGTTTAATCAGGACTACAAAACAATCAAAGCAAAGGTAGTATGAAAGATTGCACTGAATTTTTCTTGTTTTTATCATAATATTTTTTATGTCTGTACTCTGAAACTTAGATATGTGTTCATGAGGAAGGGAAAATAAATATCATTTTGGAATTTAAATGTCATGTCTTTTTGAATTGCTAGTAAAAATTTAAAATAATACTTAAAATAAGGATTGGCATTAACCTTAAGAAGTCTTGTTGAAAATATCCATGAAGAATGATTGTTTACAAAAATTCATATATTGAAGGAAGGAGGGGTGGGGGTTATTCACCGGAGAGTACACCAGTTCATTTAAGTAAAACTTTTTAGATATATAGTTTTGTTTCAATTGTTTAGTACCTAAGATTGTTGAATAATTCTTGTGGCTTAAAGTATGAATTTGTCGATGCCTAAAGAAACTGATGGTGCAAAATGAAAGGGATGACCCATCTATATAATATTGGCGGTCTTTGAGTCCTTGTTTGAAATATCTACCATACTTAATGTTAGTTTTAAGGAATAAAATGATAAAGAATAAGTAAAATCACCCTCATATGCTGTTTAATTGTAGCCCGTGCAAATAAATGATAGAATGTGAAAGAAGAATATGCCACCATCTGTTAAATTACAATTGTAATTTAAAAACAATGAAGCTGGTTAGTATCAATCCTTGTAGACAGTATTTTGTACCAAAGCTAAACAATTTTCACTCAAGTCTTTTCATCTGATCAAAGTGGGATGGAAATGATGACATATCTAAGTTAGATTGGTGTTAGTCCTGCAGATATTCTTGCTGGGTGTTTGTAAACTTTTACATGACTGCTTTTTCTGAAGTGTTTGATATGTAAATGTGTTCAGTCTCTTTAGGTGTAGGTGTGTATTACAGGTACTCATTGTCCAAAACCAATGAAGGAATAGGAAGATGTGTTATTGTTCAGTTTCCTTTGATACTGGGTAACAACCTTAAAAAAGAGAGTGTTTGGTATATTAAAAAAAAATTAAAAGAAGAAATTAGACTTATTGCGTAAATTGAACCAGAAGAAATCATGGGTATACAGATCTGTGATTTTAGATGACTATTTGATGGGTCATATTTTCTTATGATGCCATCTGGCCACACAAGAATAATGGGTTTTTGTACATGTACACTATATAAGCTTACTAATAACCTGAAAAAAATGTAACAACATGTAGTCTTTTGATGTTTTACTCTCCTTTTTTGATTAGCTTTACTTCAACAATATCATTTTTACATTTGGTTTCTTGAATTAGTGCTTTAAATCTGCATGAATCTGTGGTGTGGAAATATGACTGATAGATATATATGTCTTTTCTGCTACACATTCATGATAATGCTAAAAGGTTATCCAAAAAGAAGCCTTTGAAGACATATTTGTATTTTATTATCTCTGTAGGGATGTTCCTGGGAGTTCAATTCATGAAAGTGGAATATGTTATTAATTAATTGATTTAAGACTATATAATGCATTTATTACAATGATAAACAGAGAAAAGCTGTGATCATTGGTTCAGGAAAAACTTGTACAAGTAGGACAGGATATAATTTCAAATGCCATAGTAAATCTACATCTAAAAGTCAACTGAAATATATTGGATAAAAAGTCAGTTGATGATGAAACACATGCACTATGTCCCTACAAGATTATATCATTCAAGTAAAATTAGCTATGAAAGAATTTGTAAATATAATAATCCAAATTAAAAAATATTGAAACTGTTTACTGGTAATACTTGGCATTTGTTGAAAAAATCTTAATTCTTAATTGTAACATGGTGGTTGGATTCCATCTTATTATTAAGTATTGTACAAAGTTATTCAATACATCGTCCATTTTTTCAGAGGTGAAATAATTTAATTCTATAAAGTAATATATCTGACCAAATAATACTAAAATTTGTTTGGATTTTTTGTGGCCCACCATGAATATATGGTCGGGCATTTAGTTTTTGTCATGTCCGTCTTCTGTTCTTTAATCATACTTTGCATTTAGCCCAGTTTCAGAGAAACTATTCAAAATATTTTTATAAAAATTCGTATGCTGATTCATATTGGTGAGTGCTAGTCAACTTCAACATTTTTTGACCTTGTTCTTTGACCTTGACCTTTTTTTAAATTCGTGTTTAGCGTCAAGAAATTTTTTATCAAACTTCAGATGCTTATACAATTATACAAGCTATTCAATTACATCAGCATTTTTTTTTACCTTGACCTGTTTTTTGACCCCAATTTTTGCAAATTTGTGTTTAGCTGTGTTTTGAAGAAACAAATCAAGATATTTTTATGAAACATCATGTGCTGATACATTTTGGTGACTGCATTGAACGGCATCAAAATTCTTTGTCTCTGACTTCTCCTTTGACCTTGATTTCATTTTTCTTAAATTTGCATTTTTCAGTTCCAAAGAAGCTATTAAAGACATTTTTATGCAAACTTATGCACTGATACATAATTTGATGAGAATTTATCAACTGTGTCTTATTTATTTTTTACCTTGACCTTCATAATGACCTTTGTCATTTCTATTTATTGTGTATAAAACTCAGTTTTAAAGAAAATATTCAAGATATTTTGATCAAACTTCATATTACACTAATACAGATTTTCATGCTGCATTATTAATGAACCCTGGGTGTGGCATTCATGCCCTATGGACATATTCTTCTTTTTTTTTTTAATGAATAGCCTTTCCTCCACTATCCTCATCATTTCTCTGTACCTACATTAAATATAAATATTAAAAGAATAAATGCTAGTGATTGCTCTGTAGGGATGCTGACAAGAGAGCAGCACTGGCAGCAAAAGCCAAGGAAAAGGAAGAAGAGAAAAAGGAACATGTGCGACCTATTCAGAAGGATGAAACAGCGACCATCACCACACTAGAGGTCGATACCTCACGGACAGACAAGAAAAAGGCCGAGACGGAAATATCCATACCCAGCCTACCTAAGGCTCCATCACTGCAATCACATCCACACATCTTCAAAGACAGGAAAAAAGTGGATAGAGTGGTAATGAATAGGCCCTTTAAACAAATCTGATTTTCTTACTATGGTTTACCGGTATTCATTGTTAAGTGTAAACTGATTTAATATGGTATTAATATTATTGTATTTTTAAACCTTGGAATTTTTTGCAATTCTATTCCATTGTACATACAAAGGGCACAATTTATTACCTCATGACTTTAATAAATATGATTTTACTTCCAGCGTCGGCATCGCAGAGTGCTAGCAGAAAGTCAGCACCAGTATAATCACACAGGTCTCAGTTTACCTAAGGTATCAATGAATCCGTCCTTTCATACGAGTTCATTTGGAGGTCATTATAATGCTCACAACCCATCTGCTTCCACAGTGTCCTTGCTCCCTAGCCTTAGTAGCACCTATAAACCCCCAAAGGTAAGCTAAACACATAATTATAGCTTCAATCCAATTTATTTGCATCAATATAAAAATATCTCATGGTTTTAAGGGTAACGTGAATTGTCACTTCTCAAAAAAAAACCACTGTTGACAGAGGCAAATCCGAGGTCAGCAATGGTTTTTCAAGGGGTGACAAGTTCATGTTATCTTTACAACCATGTAATAATTTTTGGATGTACTGGTCAGAAATTAGAAAAGCTTAATATGCGATAGTAAGGTGTTTGTTGTCCATTTAGCTGTCTGTTGGTTTGTAAGTGATTTTTCAAAATGCTACTCCTCCTACAATTTTGGTCCGATTTCAATATTTCTTGGTACACAAAGTAGACTACACTTAGATGCATAATTCTGTTATTATACGAATATAGCCTTTGATGAGGTCAATCCCTATTTGTATAGACCTTAGAGAAAGCACATTGACTGATACTGAGTTGGCAAACCCCATCATCGCAAGCCACAGGTTTTGTGTCTATCACCACAAACCCATGGCTGCCTACTACAGAATTCTCTCATCATTCTCTTGAATAAATCATTGAATATTTTGTAAGTGACACCAGATTTATCTTGACCAATGAAATCACTGTAACAATTCTGCATAGCTGCACTCACAATGAAAACATGTTTGCTATGCATGGCAGATTTATTGAAAGACAATACAATAGATCCTGAACAACAGAGGCCAGTAAAATATACTCTAAAAAACTTGTAAAGCTTAACATTAAAAGACGGAGCTTCAAATACAGATGTTGTATGAATTTGCTGAACAGCGTCATTTGTAAAACAAGGAAATTCCAACAGAACATGGTTATACATGTAGTTACATCCAACTATAAGATAGACCACTAAATTCATTGGACAAAAGGTTTCCAACTTGAAGCATCAGATAATTTTTCCATTGGTTGAATGTGCTTCATAAATATTATGAGAATGAGAGAATTTTGTAGTAGGCAGCCATGGGTTTGCAGTGGAAATAGAATGAACACAAAACCAATTTCAATAAAATGTTTCCAAAAGGCTACTCCTTCTACCAGTGTTTGAAACTCAATGTAAAATTAGCTAGACATGCAGGGCTGACTGCTATTGAAAGTTGTCAGTCCTGCCAAAAATTTATTAACCCGAGAAATTAATAGTCTTTCATAACTTGTGAATTTTTAGCGATAACGTGAACAGGTCTGGGCGGCCTCCGTTTTTGGAGGATAGCTAGATTCAATATGGCGGCCAATTTTTTTACCATATATGGAAACCGCATTGCATTGTGGGATAGTTTATCCTCCAATTTCAGAGGATAACACAGGTAATTTTCAAACGCTTCGTGCCTACCTTTAATCAAAAAGTGCAAGCACCAGAGTACATGTAAATTAAAGTTCAAACATTAAACTATCAACTGTATGTGGCGATTTGAGATTCTATGTATAGAATTTTTACAATACGCTTTCAAAGTTGGCACTTCTTGCACTCCAATTTTACTTAATATTTCTTGGCATTTTGTTATATTTTTATGCTTTTCCCTATCAAGACAAATAAAAAGGGACTTAAATAATATTACTTTCATATTTTCTCTTAATTTAAAAATGGAGAAAAGAAAAAGAAACACAGAAGGAAACGTATTTTAAACACAAAATATACTCTGCCTTATAATTTAAGCAATGAATGAATATAAATTAAACAGATAAATAAATAATTTTATAAAAAAAAATTATTTTAAAAATTAATATAAATAAATAAACATGTTTACTAAGAAATTAAACATTATTATATACATGTACATACATATGTATATATAAATTAAAACAAAATATTACAAATATGATGTGTTTCAGGATTAGGCTATTCATTAAATGAAATACTAGTAATACTTAAACTTAATTTTTCAAAAAAAAATTATTTATCAAAATTTGTAAACCGTTTTACACATAATTACGGTACCGGAAAATCAGCTTGGTTATAATTAACTTCTCAGACAGGTAAGGGTAATCGTTGTTAACTTTAAAGTTTAATTAAAACTAAATATTTGATTGACAGCAATTACAAAATAAATGTTATATTGATTTAATATCTAGATTTATCCATCATCACATGAAACTTAACGTTTTATTTGTTATGGTTCATAAACTGATAAATGCAAGAGTTGCTGTTATTTGTTTGGTTAAGAGTTAACCGCCCTTTGTTTTGAAAAGTCCGGTAGGTGGCGACACCTCTATCCTCTGTTTTTAGAGGATAAAATCTATCCTCCAAAAACAGAGGCCGCCTAGACCTGGTGAATGGGGCCAGATCACTATAACTTTGATCCTGATTCTACAGGATGACGAATTCTACCCCCTTTGCTTCTTACACTTTACTACTGATACTATTGGTTGATTTGAGAGAGATTTATCAAATATATGTATATGAATTTTAATTTATAGGATATTTTAACACGTCCAACAGGGCGTCCATACGTGCATATCTGTTCGCCCATGGCAAAATTTGTGCGTCTCGGGCGGTTGGGCGCGCGGTTATTTCAAACACTGCTTCTACAGTTTTAGTTGGATTGCAATAAAATGTGCCACCAAAAGAGACTAAACCAAGTATCATTATCCTTTTGCAATCTACAATTTGAGCAGATGTTTATGGTGTTAATAATGGTACATGTACAAGCAACTTGTTAATATTCCAGATGTTTATAATTTTTTGATTTAGCTCCATCTTCAGTATTTTTGAAAGGTCTGCAACTCCTCTATTAAATACTAATTCTTTCAAAAGCAATTACACACTGTAGTATTATCTTTGTTATACATTTATAATTTGTAATCTATACTAAAAAAAGGTCAAACATTTCCAATGTTTTACCGAGCAGTCATAGAAAAATCGATGTTTGACCGCAGAGTGAGATATTGGACCTGTCAATGAGATATTGGACTGCCTACATCACACAATGGGCGGGTTCAGCTAAATCTCATTTGCATTTGTTTGTGTTCGAAATTGACCGTGTTTAATCTCAGTGCTGATAAAGGAAATTTGCATCATGGAGGCCAGCACAAGATACATATATGTTAAAAAAAATACACTATACATTTATTGACTCTGTTCTCAGGCAAAATGCATTTTGTTGACCCCTCCAACCAAACTGTTTGCCTTAAGCCTAACAGCCTCAGGCAAACAGTTTGGTTCTTGGGTCTGACAAAATGCATGCTGCCCTTGAACCCAGTCAATAAATGTGTGGTGTATTCTTATTATTTTGGTTTTATTTTTTTACTTATAGTCTTGTATCCTAAAAACATATTCATTTTTTTTTGTTATCAATTACAGCCTGCAAACAAAGCCAATAAAAACATCTTTGGAAGTTACCAGCTTCCATCATTGGACAGAAGAGGTGCAGGATTCTGATGAATACTTATTGTTTAGGGATTATTAAATGTGAATTCATGTAGAATTCAAGGGAACCTAATTCTTTGAACTAAATCAAGCCTTGTGAACATGTATCAAGGAATTTCAGGAACACTGTTGGGTGTTCATCATGTCAGTGACAAACAAGCCAATTATTTTTATAGCAATGAATGACTTGTTTCATAATTATTATAGTTCAGTGTGTTTTGGGAGATTTTAAGGTTTTTTTGTTGATTTAAAATCTTATGTTTGTGATGGCATTTTAAGCATTAACCAATAAGGTTAAATGTTATACAAATTTAATACTTTATATATAGACTGTGTGATTAATGTATTTTTGCAATTGTTGAATTTTATTTTTAAAAATTCTTTGGTTTTAGGTTAAATAGTTATTGTGAAATTAACTGGCTTTTAGGTTAAAAAGTACTTTGAAAATGACTGATTCTTTGGTTTTTAGGTTGAATAGTTATGAAAATATAATTTATATTGCTGTTTCAATTAATGTCTGGATCAGTTTTCTAATAAGATTTTGTTGTTTGTGCCAAGATATATGACAACTTGGTAATCAAAATTTTTCTTGCTATTATTAAGAATGATTCATTGTTTATTTTTACCTTTTATCAACCTTAGTACAGTAAATCTGTATTTTAATACCTGTACATGTATAGATTCTATATTTTCTGAATAAGTTGATGATATCTTTGGATACAGCTTTATACAATGAAAAAATATAAATCACGTATATACATTGTAAACAAAAGTTATAAGTTTGTCATAGTATAAAGAAATAAATCAATAATTTTTGCACAATATATGAGATTATTGGGTAAACTTTCTGATGGCATTTTATTTGGAAATTTTTGCATTGAATATTCTTTTCATCTCTCTATATCTGATGTGTTTATTTGAAACATTATTCTAAATATTTTTCAACAGGTTATATGAAATATTGAATGCACAAATTAGTGAAGAAGCTCTCGTAAATTTAGGACCAGAAGGAATTGTTCAAATGAACATTTTCTTTTTTGTGTAGGATATACCTTAATTGTTAAGGTTGAATTAATTATATTGTTTTTGATTGTGCCAAACAATTTGAATAAAACAGATATCTTTATATTTTGTATACATGACTGTATATATAAGTACATGCATTAATATCCAAATACTTTCTATAAGATATTCTTAAAAACTGCCACAGAAAAAAAAACTGAATTTGTGAAATGTTGCTTATCAGGGATTTGGTTCTTTGCTGTACATCAACACATACACATTCAGTATGTAATTTAAATACCAGTACGGTAATTTTGAAATGTATTTAAAGTCACCTAAGTGCTAACTATGAATTTATTTGATATGAATTTTAAAACATCCCATCTGTATTTTCCCATTGGATGCAATTTAAATCAAACTTTTAATTTTAAGTGCTGTGTAATATTTATTTTGATATGTAGACATTTAAATTTGTGATGCTGTTAGTGAGGCAGTTAATTTAATTTTTAAAGATATGCCAGACCACCAGAATGATCCAGTATTATGTACCCTGCTAGAACTTCTGCAGATATTGTACTGCTAATAAAAAGAAAAACCTGATTTTTTCATCCAAGACATTCATTGGGTAACACAATGTTTCACTTTGTATATTTTTCAGAATCTAATCTTTTTTCCTGTAACAAGCCAGTTTCTTGAATTTCCATTAGATTGGAGTTTTTAAAAAAAATTGTTCTATATTGGAAATCAAGTACATTGCTTATGAAATACTCCACTGATCCTAATCCATTATTTCTAACAATGTATGAATTAATATGCATCCGTCCTAAAACTTGTCTACCAACAGTTGACATTCCAAGTCCAACATTCCAACATCTCAACTTGTGAGAGGAAGCAACTTTATCTCAACTTGTGAAGTGAAGCAGCTTTATCTCATGTGAAGTGAAACTGCTTTATCTCAACTTGTGAAGTGAAACTGCTTTATCTCAACAAGCCTTATCCTAACTGGTGATTTGTTATTATATATAGACCTAGTGTTTGATTTTATGGCTTATCCTTTAATCATTTAATTCCATCCAAAACTTTTGATTTTATGAATATTTTTTTTATTTATTTTGCTCATGTATCATGTAGTCTTTCAAAGCCATTGTGATAAATGTATTTTGTAGTATTTGTATTATAAGTGAGGTAGATGCTGAATAGTAGTTTAATTCCTACTGATATATTAAAATCAATAAATTCTGTAATATATCATTATGTCCTCATTTTTATACCCAAACTATGAAGTGAGGTATGTTTAACTGTTGATGCTTTTGCAAGTTGTCATATCCCATTGGTTTCTGAGTAACAATTTACTCTGTTGAGTATGTAGCAAATGATGTAGTCCCCTTTGTTCAAGATCAAAAATCAAGGGCATCATGACATGCAGGTGAAAAATCCATTTCTGGATTTTATCTGGACTTTGCATTGATCTGTCAGTTTGAGTCTTATTAATTGAATGTTGAGGTCATGAAGATAATTCCTACTGATTTTGAAGACCATAACTTAAACTCTTGCTATTGAAAATGATGTATCCTTTCCTTAAAAAAAAAAAAAAAATCCTTTTTTTTTTGGATGTAATTTTTTATGCCCCCGTATCGAAGATTCAGGGGAATATAGTTTTTGCCCTGTCTGTTCGTCTGTCTGTTTGTCTATTTGTCGGCAAAAACTTTAACATTGCTCATAACTTTTGATTGGTTGGAGCTATAGCTTTCATATTTCACATGTGTATTCCTTGTGACAAGACCTTTCTTTGGGTACCATCACATTTGACCTTGGGAGTTTGACGCAGTTTTACAAAATTTTACCAAACTTTAACTTTGGCCATAACTTTTGAATGGTTGGTGCTAAGGCTTTCATACTTCACATGTGTAATGCTTGTAACAAGACCTTGCTTTGGATATCAACAACTTTGACCCTTTGACCTTGACCTAAGAGTTTGACCTACTTTTGGAAAACTCTAACCTTGGCCATAACTTTTGAACAGTTGGTGCTAGGGCTTTCATTGTTCACAAATGTATTTCTGTGACAAGACCTTTCTTTAGATACCAACAATTTTAGCCCATTGACCTTGTCCTTGGAGTTTGACTTCTTTTGGAAAACTTTAACCTGCACCATTACTTTTGAGCAGTTAGTGCTAGGGATTTCGTACTTCACATGTGTTATCCTTGTGACAAGACCTTCCTTTGGATACCAACAACTTTGACCTTGACCTAGGAGTTTGACCTACTTTTGGTAAACTTTAACCTTGGCCATAACTTTTGAATGGTTGGTGCTAGGGCTTTCTTTTTTTCACATGTGTATTACTTGTGACAAGACCTTCCTTTAGATACCAACAATTATAGCCCATTGACCTTGACCTTGGAGTTTGACCTACTTTTGGAAAACTTTAACCTTAGCCATAACTTTTGAACGGTTGATGCTAGAGCTTTCATTTTTCACGTGTATTACTTAAGACAAGAACTTTCTTTTAGATACCAACAATTTTAGTCCATTGACCTTGACCTTGGAGTTTGACCTACTTTTGGAAAACTTTAATCTTGGCCATATCTTTTGAATGGATGGTGCTAGGGCTTTCATATTTCACATGTGTATTTCTTGTGAGAAGGCCTTTCCTTGGGCACCATTAATTTTGACCATTTGACCTTGACTTTGACCTTGATGTTTGACTTACTTTTGAAAAACTTAAACCCTTTCCATATCTTTTCAATGGTTGCTGCTAGGACTTTCATATTTCACAGGTATATTCCTCAGGACAAGACCTTACTTTGGATACCAACATATTTAATTTGCATTTAAGAAAGTTTAACCTTCGCTATAAGTTGCCATACGGGGGCATCATTGTTTCACAAACACATCTTGTTTCACCTTTCTTTCCTCCCTTTTCTTTCGTCACCTTTTATTGGGTTTTCTCTTTCTTGTGATGCCGAGATTGTCTACATGCCTATTAAGTGGAACCTTTACCAAAGAAAAATAATAATATAAGTGGAACAATAAAAAATTCTTTCTCATTTTAAGGTCAAGGTCATTCTATTTTGACTTATTAATTGGCTTAATTGTAAGTGAATGTGGGGCATTATAACTTGGATAGTAGACAGTTGAATTTTGTGTCATAGATATGATGTACCCTTTATATAAGATTTTATTTTCAAGTTTAAGGTAACAGAAAAAGAGGAATTTTGCTAACATTACTGTTTTGCACATTGAGAGAAATTAGCTACAAATATAAGAGCAAAAAGCAGTCTTCTAAATGCAAATTTATGTGACTTTAATTATTTTACTGTCCAATGATAACTTTTGAGGTCACCTGAGTGACTCGGGTTATTTGCTATCCATTTTTGTCAGTCATCCTGCATTGTGTGTTGGTAATAAACCTTATGAACATTTTCAGCTTATTCTGAGGTATCGCTGAACCAATTTCAACCAATTTTGGCATATAGCAATTATAGGTGAAGGGGAACAGAAATTATGAATTTCATGGTCCCTGCCCCCTGGGACCTGAGGGGTAGGGTTAAAACAATCAAAATTAATGCAATATTTAAAAATCTTTTTCTTTACTCCTGGACATCAAGCCGTCAATTTGTTGGCATGATTGTAATGAGCATTGAGCCCTCTACCAAAACTTTGAAATTCATGGTCCTCATTGATCAGGTGTTCTGGATTTAGGGTATAGGGCTCTATTAATCATATAGCATAAATGCATTAATTCTTCAAAAATCTTCTCTCCTCCTGTGTATTTAGCAGACAAATTAAGTGCATGGTAATGATAAGCAAGGGGTCTCTTCCAAAAGTGTGTGAAAGTCATGGCCCCTGGGTTAGGGGTTTTGGTTTGAGGGCAGTGTTCTATTGATTATATGGTGAAAATGCATTATTTATTCTTTGAAAATCTTCTTCTCTGCTCCTGTATATTTAGTAGACAAACCAAGTGCATGGTAATGATGAACAAGGAATTCCAAAATTGTGAAATTCATGGCCCCTGGGTCAGGAATTCTGGTATTAGGGCAGCACTCTATTAAGGAAGAGCCGTACTCTGCTCAATTCCTGATGAAAATTTTTCCAACCTTAAACATTACATAAGTAACTCACATAAAACATATTCATGAGGGAAAAAAGCCATTGTCATCATATTATTTTTTTCAGCAGTGTCACTTAATGTTGGAGGTACTGTCTGACCCTGCTGTGGCAAAACAGCATCAGAAAAATTTAAGTCATATACACTACATTATTAATTAAATTTTTCATACATTTAAATGTTTATTTCAAATATTTTGGTAACTCTCTGAGAAAAAGCAAAATTAGGAAAATAAATTATTGAACATACAAATATCTTCATTTTCATTAAGACAAACATTATTTGTTATCACATTTATTTAAAAGTTATATGTGTTTTATAGAAATTTGACCTTTTTGCAATGACTCATTTTTTTTTTTTTTTGAAAGAATGTCATTTCTAAGTATGAAAATTGAACCCCAAAAATTACATCTCTTTTAAAATAATCAATCTGAAATACATTTTTTCTATGTTTTTCACAAAAGTCTAGCCTTGCCAAAGACTTAAGCCTAACAAGACAATAAAGCACTTTTACACAGATTGAAACCTCATTATCAGGTACATTGATTTCTGCACAGTTCTGAGTGAAACACCTAGCCATTTCTTTTTAACCCATATTTTAAAAGCAGCTTTTTTTTCAATCATTTGGGAAGAATATAACTTTGAAATCTTAAAAACAGTTGGGAAAATATATTTAATTTTGGGGAAAAGTTGAATCATGGCCCCTGGGTCAGGGGTTCTGGTGTTAGGGGAGGGCTCTACGCAGTGAGATTATTTAATGAAAATGCATTCTTTGAAAAGCTTAATTCTTCTCTGCTTTTGGGCATTTAGAAGGCAAACAGAGTACAAAAATGTATGAGCAAGGGTGTTTTTTTTTACCAGATTTGTGAAGTTTTTGACACTGGGTCAAGGGTCCTGGTGCTGGGCAGGGCTCTATTAATCATGTAGGAAAATTTGTACTTGACTTTGAGAGAAGTTATTCCTCTTTGTTATTCACCTATGATAATTAATAAATGTAAATACCATGTGGCGGTCAGACGGGTTCGATCGCTCGTGGCCAGATAGTTCAGTTGGTAGAGCACCTGACTGGAGATTCAGGGGACCCGCGTTCGAATCTCAGTCTTGTCCATTACATTTTTCTCCTCTCCTGTAACATTTCGTGCTGTGCCATGCCCTGGAAGTGACAGGTGAAAAACCTACCAGAGAAGAGCTAGGGTAAGTGTCTTTGGGGGGCAAAGACCTTTAAGGATCCGGAGGGAGGAATGTAGTGGTCAGTCGGGTTTGGTCACCGGTGGACAGATTGCTCAGTTGGTAGAACACCTGACTGGAGATTTAGGGGGCCTGGGTTCGAATCCTGGTCTGGTCCATTGCCTTTTTCTCCTCTCCTATTACATTTGGTGCCCTGGAAGTATTCTCAGGTAGTTTAGATTCAATTTTGTTCAAATCAGGGCCCCTGGGTGAAAGGTGGGACTACAAAAAGGGATCAAAGTTTTACAGGTAAAGGAAAATTCTTTAAAAATCTTCTTACATACATCAGGGCCATAATAAGCCTTTATTTGCAAGCATCATCAGGTAGTATATATTCAAATTTGTTTAGATCAATGCTTCCAGGGGGATCACAGTTTTACAAGGAAAATAGGAACAATCTTTTCAAGAGTGGCAAAGCCAATTACTATATCATATCAATATGCAAACAATCATAAGAAATAGGAACTGTCTCAACAAATCTTTTCAAGAGAACAGGCAAGGCCATACTATATCATATCAATATGCAAACAATCGTAAGTTCTGTTGATTAGTTTTTTTTTTTTTCTCATTCAAATGGACCCTGGGGGTTAGCTGGGGCTTAACTCAGAGATCAGATTTTACATAATGCTATTTTACAGGAAAAAATCTTTTAAAAATCTTCTACAGAACAGCAAGGGCATGTTAGTCATATCAATATTAAAGCATCTCAGTTTTGAGGGGATTCAAGCTGGTTAAATCATAACCCCTTGAGGCTAGGTAGGGACCACAATATGGAGTCAAAAGTTTTTATTGGAATACAAGAGAGGGAAAAAATCTTTCATAAATCTTCCTCTGAAGAACAGGAGGGCCAAGGTGACTCGGGTGAGCATTGTGGCCCATGGGCCTCCTGTTTTTAGCTTTTCCTGCTGAATTCTGATAGTTGTTTAATAACTTATACACTGACATATTTTTCCTCCTTTTGGTCCACTTTCAATGAAATTATGGCTGCAACTTTGTAAATTTGAAAACTTCAAACAAATTATTTGTATGTATGACCTTTTCCTAAAATGTCCCTACTTTCTGCAAGTTGTCACTGAAGTTTTGATTGCAACTGTTCACTGAGTTTCATTTGGATTTAACTTTTAACAAAGAGTGTTAAAATATTGGTTAGTGTATATTATGGACCCACTTTTATTCCAACACATGAAGTATTACTGTGGAGTCATTGTAATTTGTGAGAACCAAATTTTATGGTTACTTAAAATTTACTTTGGGCTTATAATCAATTTGAGGGGGTGGGGTGAGAGGGTAGAACTAATTTGGCAAATGTCTCAATATAATATGATAGAGATCACCTATAATTTGATATTTGCCCAGGTTTTAAATTAACCCATAAAAACCTTGAGAATTGAACCCCATAAAATATAATGATTCCACAGTATTTCATTAAATGTAGTAAAGCAATAAATTTTTACAAAAAAATATTTTATTTGATAAAATGACTTTAAAAAGTGTTAACAAGTACACAGACTCTTCAGTACATCCAACTAAATAAAATGCATACCCTCACATGTAACATTATATTTAACAAAAGAGATAACTGACACATCAAAGACAGTCATGCTCAAAGAATGAACATTTCAAAAATCAAATGCATGATTATTTAGTAAATTACAAAGAATAACTTCAAGGCTTTAAGAAATTATTTTGATGAATTTTGGAACAGGTTAATTAATTCAACCACGTCATAATGAATATTTCAAATATTCAAAGATAAAGGCACTTTAACCAGATGCCTCAATGAAACAAAGTAGCATATATCACAGAATATTGGCACTAAATCATAGAAAAATTAAAACAGTGTTGGAATATCACAAAAATAAAGACTTTGCATGTAAAAATGCAGATATATTTAAGCATTATAAAGAATAATAAAATCACAAATATGAAAAATAATTATCAGATCAGCAGTATATTTAGTAATTCATGCATTTCTCTTGGTGAATGAAATTACAAAAACTTCTATCAAAATTCACTTTATTAATCATCATCCCCCATCTCTTCACATTTCTTAGATACATTTTTATTGAAAGGCATTTCAAAGTCCTCAAAGTCCACCTCCCAGCCGTATCGTTCCCTGTTGACTTGTCGCTGTTTAATGAGTTCATCACTGGTTGGCTGTTTGGTCCAGGGAATCAGAGGCGTGTATGTAATGTCCTCCTGCTCATCCATGCCCCCTGCTAAAGCTGATGCAGCCCTTAGAATGGAGCCTTTCCTCTGCCTTGGGGGTTGATCGTCAAACTCCCCAAATCCAAGAGGTCCTGAGTGAGAATGATGCTACAATACATAGAAAAAATACAAGCCTGTGAATTATTTTAATCAGGTTTACATTTAGCTTTAATAGGAAATAAATCAAAGAAAAATTTGATTTTATGTCTGACTAGATTTCTTTAAAAAAATTCTTTTAAGTTCAATATGAGTTTAACATTCAGAGGTAATTACTGGTATTCAAAAAAAAAAAGATTTAGAGGTTAACAGACACATATCAAGCACTAATGTTAAGATAAACTAATCTTGATTAAGGTGGCTCTAATTATTGCCAAAAAATGTGTCTAATGCCACAGGTACCCACGAATGTGCTCAACTAGGCAGTCACAAAAGCTTACGCCAAACTGTTTGTATTTCTAAAATTTGTATTAGTTTATATTGTCATGGAAATAAAATTGCAAAGTCAAGTTTCTACTGAATTGTTATCTTTATGAAACATGAATCTAACAAACAGTTTGTCTGGAAAAGGCAGTAATTATTATCTAAGTCACAGTACTACATTGATAGCTATAAAAGGAATAGGTATTAAAACTTTCTTAATGCAGTTATCATCTTGAAAGAGAATTTTTCGTCCAGGAAAATAGTTTAATTTCCTCCTTTTTCACAATTTTTAACAGAGTTGAGTATGCAATTCAATAAAGTTGCATTAAGAAAATTGCCACACTTGAAGGGTACATGTATTTAAGGTTTTACTCTCTTTTCACACCAAAACCAAAATGTTAAGAAATGCTTACATTGTGAGTTACACTAAACCATATTAGAACTCTGCCTTGAGGGTACCTGTGTTATACAGAGCAAAACAACACATTCACAAGCAAATCCAAAATTAAGTTCTTTTTTTTCTCAAACATTTCAACCATAAAAAGTAAACACAGTTACTGATCATTCTAGTAATTTTACAATTTAAAAAAAAAAATATTTGTGTTAAAAACTTTTTATTCACAGCCAAAATATCAAATTACCAGTACCTCTGAATTTATCCACTTTTAATTCTACAAATTAATTTATCTCCCCTTACTTTACAATGTTCTGGTGATAATCATAAAAGTAAACACATCTATGGTATCAAAACACTCCTAATACTTACAGCAACATTTTCCTTCATTTCAGGGGCTGGTCCTGATGAGGGTCGAGTGGTCTTGCCCCCTCCTCCTTTGCCACCTTTCTTTCCTTTACCCCCCTTCTTATCCCCCATGGCTGGCAGACTTTCCCATTTTAACTGTACAATATCTATGACCCTAGGGTCAGCCCAGGAGATGGCAACATCCATTGGGTTGTGACCTGAAATGTTCATAATTGGATACATTAAGTAAAACACCTTTTGAAACTGATCCACTAGTTCTGGGGTTGAAAGATTTTCACAACGCTGTAAAAGTATTCAAACTATTTAATACACTGTACTCTTATACTTTTAGTGCACTTCCACAGACTGACAGTATGAATTAATTTTTAAAAATCAAATATGGACCATGATTGTGCCATTTGTGATTGCACAAATGAATTCAAGACACTCCATTGCTCTAAATTTTGTATGTATAGCAGGCAATTAAGTACGTATACAGTTAAATAACTAGAGAGTACACATACAGGTATTGAGAGCATGTCTTACCCTTAGCATTTTCTGTCTGTACTTTACATCCCCTGCTGATGAGATATTCCACCACACTATCTCTAGAACTCTCTATGGCTCTAGTGAGTGGCGTACCACCATTCATTGTGGTGGCATCAATTTCAGCTCCATGCTCTATTAGGTATTCCACTACATCCAGCATACCAGCATGACAGGCATGGTGAAGGGGTGTCCATTTAAAGTTGTCCCTGGCATTGATCATTGCTCTGTTGAAAATAAAACTGACGTTAAAAGAGACAACTGTGAAGTAATAAATTTTTGTCTTCTTATACAACTTCTAAACTGACCGCATCTATATTTGTAATTTCTGTTGTTTATCTGGCACTGTTGTTTTGTGTAACTTGATGTACACTTACCCATTCTCCACAAGGAATTTGACCATATCGATTCTGCCAGTGGCACAAGCAACCATCAGCGGAGTCTTGTAGTATTTATCCCTGGTGTCCACAGTACTACCTCTCTGGAAGGCATTCTTTAAAGAGTCAAAGTCACCATTTTTAGCAGCATCAGCAATGTTCATGTACATTCTGTCTGGGTGGTTCAGGTACCAGGCAGAATCGTCCTGTAGAGGATGAGCTGGCGGTCTGTCTCTGTCAAAGCGGTTTGTGTCTGTGAAGTGAATGTGTCTCTCTATGAACATCTCAGGTGGTGCTCCTCCATAAGTCCTGGGTCCCTCATCCTGAGTACATATTGGCATAACAAGCTTGAACTTTCCCTTCTTTTTGCCTCCCTTACCCTTCTTTCCTTTCTTTTTCTTTTTGCCCTCAAAGGCACTCATTAAGTAGTTTTTATTCACATATTTTTTGCCTCCCACAAATTCATTAAAGTCAATATTGCCATCATGATTTTTGTCATGAGCTGTCAGAACTTTCTTCATATCTTCCTCCTCAACAGGTGCCCCCATTCCAGTCAAACTGTCAGCAAAGTTATCCTTCGTCACTGTTCCCTTCTCATCAGGGTCATATTTCATCATCATGTTGATGATCTTTTCCGATCTCTCATACACCCAGTCGTAAAGAGCTATGGCCCATGGTTCATTGTTTTTGCCAACTTTACCAAAGGCTTTCTCTGCTTTTCTACATTCTTTTGTAGCCTCTTTGTGATCTCTGTCTTTAGCCAATGTTCTACCAGTCTCTCCTTCGTTGTTTTTTGGCTTAGGATTGCAACCTAACAGAGAAATAAAGTTACATGTACTTGTATATTGGGTGAAATCAGATTTTTATACTCTTAGGTTCAGATTTTCTTTAAGTACATTTGAACTTCGGTATCTCGAACACTGATATCTCGAACACCATGGATATGTCGAAGTGATTTGGAAGTCCCAACCTCTTATTCTTTAAGTATTTTACCCTGGATATCTCGAATCCTTGGATATCTCGAAGTTTTTTCTCGGTCCCATTGAGTTCGAGATAACGAGGTTTGACTGTATATAAACATGCATTTGGAAAAGAACACCATGAGTTAACTCTGCAGTTCTAATCCACGTGACAATTTTTACATTTACTCACCTCTTTGTGCTAAGAATTTACAGCACATTCCATGGCCATTCATGGCAGCATTGTGAATTGGAGTATTTCCCTCTGAATTTGTCTGATCAAACATTGCACCATGTCCAGACATACAGGCCAAAACTGGTAGACTGCCTCCAATGGCAGCATAGTGGGCAGCATGATTATGCTTTATATCTAAAGCATTTACATCTGCTCCACGCTCCAGGATGGCACGAACAACTTTGACACTTCCACTGGCTGCAGCAGCCATTAGACACGTCTTCCCAGTTTTCTTGAAAAAAAAATAATTGAGGAACCTTAATAACTTATTAAATATATTCCTCTTCTCAAAAATATTCTGAATCAAAATGGAGTCTCAAAATACTAAAAAGTTCAGACAATAAAAATCAAAGAGACAATTAAAATTCTATAGCAATGAACTTGCATTATCTTATTGAATTTATTTAGTATGTTGATTTACCTCCTGTTTTCCATTTGGATTGGCACCTTTCTCTAAGAGTTGAATGCAGGCTTCCTCATTGTCCGTAGCTGTTTCACATGCATAGAGAAGTACAGGAATGCCCTCGGCTGATATGTTGTTAGGGTCTGCTCCATTTTCCACAGCTATTTCCAGACACTTAGCATGTCGTTCCGTAGGAGAGATGCAGTAAAATAGGATACCTAGTGATAATGAAGTGTGATATAAGACATTCTCCAAATGAGACTGCTACAATGGTTTGTATTGATTTTTACTCTTCTCTGTTAAGAGTGATAATTTGTTAGAATGAGAGAATGAGGGGAAAATATCAAAATTCAATGTCTTCTTTCTTAACTTATCATACTTAACTTTCAAAGTTAAATATGGATCTTATTGAGGATAATCTTGTATATTATATCAAATTGATATAATATACAAGATTATCCTCAATAAGATCCATATTTTGTCAAGCATGTAAACATTACCTTTGCCTTCCAAATCTTTGATATCCATCTTAGCACCAGCCTCCACCAATTTTTCCAGACACTGCACATGGCCATATTCCGCTGCTCTCATTGATGGGGACCTGCCCTTCAAATCCACAGCATCAGGATGGGCTCCAAGCCCAATTAAAAACTTTATCATTTCATCATCATTAGCCGCTGCAGCCACCCCAAGGGCTGTGAATCCTTCATTAGCATCATTGTAATTAATCAAATGTGGGACTCCATGATTTGTGAGTTTTTCTATTTGACTCATGTCCTTTTCACGAACACATTGTAATAGTTTGCACACCTGCAGTGTTTCTAGTCTTGTTTCAGCAACAGGCATTTTTATCTTTTTCTATTTTTTCTCTTGCTCCAATAGGGAAATTGACTAGAACTTTTTTATGGTTTATCAATGATGAGGGTGTTTAATGATTGCTTGTACTCATCATGCCATTGTAAATATTTAATGTGTTTTCATTCCAAAGTACTTCCAATGTTAAAGCTACAAGATAAAGTGATATTGTGCTGTAGCATAAAGGATCATGTACTGTACGTGAATGCTGCATTAATTTGTATAAACACTTACGATTTATATATCTATCTATCTATGTTTACTTGCCACAATCGAAAATATTACTATTAAATTCAAATTTTAACCATCTGATTCAATGGAGGAAAAATATGCTCAATATCTTCAGATCACATCAAAATCCATCTGACTTAATTTGGTCCATCATATGGAAGTGCATTGATCACGCAAACTGTGGCGATAAAACGAGAATTTTCCGACTCCTTAATCATTACATTTATAAAACATGAAGTAAGGTACCTGTTGTCTTACGAGAGGCTGACAGGAAATCTTGTTATCAAGGAGTGCGTGTTGATGTCTTCTATTTCATTATTTATTCATTTTGACGAGCTTAACCCGCCATTGCTGTTTGTTTGTCTCTAAGGAAGCGGTTTTGCTTTCGTAAACACTCGGCTTTTTCCATAGCGAGCGAAGGCACCTGCTGGGAGCTCTGTAACGTGTGTAAGCGGGTAATCGGTAATCTGTCAGCAAACTGGGAAGATTGGGAAAGGGGAAGGAAAGTCTTGACAAAACATTTATGTTAAGCTCACATTACACATTGTAATTATAAGTATAACCTATTGTAAAATTGTAAGTTTCTGTCATTTAATTAACACCCCTCATGTAGAAATCATGGATCCACCACTGTCAGTCATTCTACAAAAACATGACCAATTAAGAATTTTTTATGTCGCTTACAAATTTTCGTTGTAATATCTAAACTATGAATTTCAAAGATCGATTTCAACTTTAAGACTTAACATACACACATGGTTTTGTTTGTAAATATTTACCGATATACATGCAGTTAAAGTTTTGATATGAATCATTTCGAATAGATTGCAATGAATGCTACAAAAGTTTTTTTTATCCTATATAAAAAGAAATCAAACCACTTCTCGCAAAGAAATACATGGATCTCCTTTCATGCCAAATCATAGAATGTCGCTTAAAATCGATTAACTTCCGTAACGATTTTGTTTTAAATTTCAATTTGAACAGTTGAAATTTCAATGCTGATTCAATCTGAAATTTTATCTGAAAGTGACCACGGAACCTTATATCATCGATTCTAGTTGCGAGTCAGCTATTTTAGACGATTACATTTTCGAGACATAACAAAATGTATTAGACAAAAACAGTTGTCTCTCTTAAAAATTTAACTTCCATAACGGTAATTAAGGAAAGTTTTTTTGCATTAAAGGTATAATTTTTTTATTATTATTTTGGGAGCGAAATGCTTCATACTTTTATTTCATATCCTAAAACAAACTTTGATTTTAACCATTAAAGAGAATTTTAACTTTATTGTTGGGAATTAAATTCCGTAACGATTAACTTCAGTAACGATATTTTTCCCAAATATTTAATTTAAATTCGGATTCATGCGAGACTTCATGAATCATACTTTAGCGTTCTTTACTGAACATCAGGAACAAAAAATTGGTCAAATTCAGCTTTATTTAAAAAATAATAAGGCTTGTTCAAGCATTAACTTCCGTAACATTACCTTAAAATCAATGATATATTGAAACTGTTGTAAAAAGTTAACGATACCAGATTTGTGGATAATTCTTTGTTTTCAAATTCACTGATATGTCCTTTAGAGAATTATGATGTTCGTTTTGCTATTTGAAACATTTTTTTTTTCTTCATGTTATATATTCTGAATTTGTCCATTTATCGTAGAATGACTGTTTTTTTTTTTAAATACTGTTAGTACGTTTTATCACGGGCACCTGAGGCATGAATGGTGTACCCCCCTCCCCCGCCACCTTCTGAGAATTTTATTAGACATGAAAATTTATCAAAAATGCATGGATTATTATGCGCCTATCATACCCATGTGTTAAATTTTAGGGATTACCCCTCTACGGTATATATATATATATATATATATATATATATATATATATATATATATATATATATATATATATATATATATATATATATATATATATATATACCTTTAATCTATAAAAGAGTGTGGACCCCCCTCTCCCTTGACTGGAACGAAAAAATAATTTGACCTGTAATTTTATATATATATATATATATATATATATATATATATATATATATATATATATATATATATATATATATATATATATATATATATATATATATAAACGTAGAGGGGCAATCTCCTAAGACTTTTAAACAAAATCGGAAAATGATGGTCAGATATCGGAATGTAGGAATGATAGGCTAGGAATTTATGTATTTTTAAGTTTTCGTGTCTAATAAAAAAAAATCTCAGAAGGTTACAGGTGAGGGTTACACCATCCATACGTCAACTTAGTGCCTGTGTGATTTACTATATCTAGCATAATTCTTATGACTGAGTGTAATAGTAATTATCCAGAACTTTGCTGATAATTTTCACTCAGATCTCATGCAGTGTATAAATTATTATTAATCATATAATGATCCATGAAATCAAGCCCCCTCCCCACACCCGATATACCTTTAATCTATAAAAGAGTGTGGACCCCCCTCTCCCTTGACTGGAATGAAAAAATAATTTGACTTGAAATTTTCCAGCCCCCCCCCCCCCTCCGAATCAAAAGGTCATCCCCTTAGTGAACGGTGTAGAAGCAGACCGAGAACCAACCTACATGACAATTCTTGTGCCACTTCTCGGAGTAGTGGAAAGATTCGGGGGTTGGGGGGTTGGGGTTGGGGGTTATAGTTTGTGTATACCTATGTATATGATACCGTTATTGTGGGACTCTGCTTTTAAGGACAGACGATACGTTCCTCAATAATATATAATTTTTTCTAAGATTTTGTTATTGAAGTATTACTACTCTCATATGTTTACTCGCAAAAAATTGAGGTACCTTACCAGGCATTTGTCGAAGATACCGGAGGATGTTGTTTCCTATAAAATCCTTTTGGAAAAAACTTAATTTGCCAATTTTACATCTTTTAGTGTTTCAATTTTTTAAAGACAATTAGAAATCAGTTTAGAAATCAGAAAGTATTTAGAATTTTGAGTATTTTCCATTCAATACGAAGATATACAAAACAGATATTTGAGGAACGTATCGTCTGAAAATGTATGGGGTTATATTAATGCAATGTACACTTTATAAACAAGATTCAGCGAAACTTATCAAGAAATTTTCAAACAATATAGATATTATACGATTCTTAATTCTTTACATTTTTCCGATTTTTGGTCTAGATAAGTAGTAGGTGGGTAAAAAGGTATTTTTTGTAATTCTAACTACGGTCTGTCACGATACATATCCTGGATTCAGTTTTGATGCCGAGTATTCGTGTACTGGTAAATGAGTATCCTTGATTCATCCTTCTTCACAGGGAAAAAAAGCAACAATAACTGAAATCATACATGATTTTTGACAATATTACTGATGAACACACCCCTCCCTGCGCAAATATAACCCCCTCACCCAAAACAATAAAAAGCAAACAGTACAATAAACGCACACATAAAACAAATGCAGACCATATTAGTATCAGGGGAAAGAAAGTTTCCGAGTTTTGTCAGTCTCTTTTTTCCCCTTGTAAATGGATTTTTCAGATTGGGGGGGGGGGGGTATCTTCTGCCTACCTCCACTTTGAAAAAAAAGATCGATGCTATGTGCCTGAAACAAAAGACAAGGGAATAAAAAATAAATAAAATAAAGATAAAAAATATAAATAGATGAATTTTATAGACATACCTGTTTCATCTTGAAATGTACCCTATGTTGCCGCATTACCTAGTATTGATCGGTCGAGTTTTATGTCATTCATAGTGTATAGGTTGTATGCAGATATAAACAGTCAAGCAAAAAGATATCTATTGTTAGATATATATTTAACGTCCGGGATTTACAGAACTTAAACTAGTTTAAACATGGCAAGCGTTAAGAGCCCGGTAAAAATTGAAAATTTTCTCCAGTTTTCGGCGAAAACTTTACAGGGCGAGAAGATAGATTTCAGTCAGTATGAGGGGAAGGTAATCCTGGCGGTGAATGTGGCATCCCTGTGAGACACCACCAAGAGGGACTACCCGATGATGAACCAGCTCGCCGAAAAATTCGCCGGGAAGCTGGTGGTTCTCGGGTTTCCCTCCAACCAGTTCGGGCACCAGGTAAAAATTATTTCTTCTTAATTGTTAAACAGATTATAAATAATTTGTGACATCTAATATAAGAGAGAGAGAGGGGGGAGAGAGAGAGAGTTTGATAACGCTATACAAATTGTATCAACGAAAGTCAACAAAAGTTTCTTTATTTTAATCTTTCCATTGTGAAAAATTTAAAATTGATTTGTATTTGCATTTGTGCTGCATTTTTTTTTTTTTTTTGCAAACAAACGAATATTACCATAGAGGCACTGGGAATTATCTGCACTGATCGACTGGTTCTGGTATTTAAATTGTAAGGTTCTGTCATGGCTGTGTAATGAATGTTTTCTGACCTGTTCTATTCAGAAGGCATGCATGTATTTTACTAGATTAATTCAAACTGAACTGAACAAGATTTGTTCATACTCCGCCCCCACCTTTAAGTATCAAAGTACGTTTAATCCTTACAGAAAGAGTGAAAAAAGTAATCTATCTTTTGCTCAAATGTACTGTAGCTAACATTACAACCAATCTAAACTCAAAATCATAGCAAAGAACAGTTTTGCTTGTTCATGTACCAAATGTTGATAAGAGGGTTTTTGTCCATCTTTGGGACAGTGCATATTTTCCATGTCAAAAACATTGCTGTCGGCGTAACACGCATCAAAAAAAGACTTAATTAAAATATCACAGTTACATATAATCAATTTCAAATCGAAAAGAGATTGAGGGTGAAGTCCAACCACAAGCTCAATCTGTCAAGTCTGCTCATTTGTTTTCTTTTCTTTTTTTTTTTAATTTTACTATAAAATGATTCTGCTACACGATAATATTAAAAACTACTGTGTGTGAGTGTTTTAAGCTACTTCACGAGGTAACTGGCGTTTTTCTAAGCAGCTCTAACCAAGAACCAGTAAGGTAGTGTCCATATCTGATTGTGTGTGATTAAAACCTGTCTACATGTATATTTTAAATTCACAGGAAAACGGAAATGGAGTAGAAATTTTGAACACTCTGAAATACGTTCGACCAGGTGATGGATTCGAACCAAAATTTCCTGTCTTTGAAAAACTAGAAGTGAATGGTGAAAATGCTCATCCCATCTTTAAATTTCTGAGAGACAGACTTCCCATTCCAAGTGATGAGGCTACATCGTTTATGTCCAACGCTAGCAAGATTATCTGGGCTCCCGTAACTAGGACTGATATCGCATGGAACTTTGAGAAATTCTTGATAACACCAGACGGCAAACCGTACCGACGATACAGTAGATACTACATAATGACAAACATTCAGAGCGACATTAAAAAACTTATAGACGAATATAACGTGAAATAATGTTTACAATTGTATGTGTCATTTAATTTATTAAAATTTATTCATTTATGGTCAACAAGCATTCTGTACATGGGTAAAGGTGACGTCTTCATGACTGTTCTTCTATAAAGCTCGCTATTTTGGAGTTAGGAGAATATGATGTTCAGTGACATCTACCTTTATCCATATATAAAATCTTGTTGTTTCGTGCAATTTTAAAATAAATATTGCGGGACAAACTGTGTATATTTTAGATAGTGGTCCAAGAAAACATCTACAAGCGGCAAACTCTATCAGCAGATTTCACTCAATTGTGCAAACCACTTCTGTTTGCCTTCGTTACTGAAAATTTATAAACTCCCTAAAGCTATGTCATTTATTTGATTTAGCGCTTAGGTTATTGTTTGCATCAACGATATTTTCTTCCTAATTTATTTGATGAGAATACAGGTCTAAGCCTTGCGGCGATGAAACATGAATGTATCCAAACTAAATAAAGAATCTGGACAGGTAATTTCAATCACAGACACACCCACAGGCTTAGTTTCTCCTTTTAGAAATACTAGTAGTTGACCAAGTTAAGGTGGCATACACCAAATCACAGGTTAACTAAAACAGCGCTATGACTGGCTTGAAAGAAATTCTAGACAAACCCTTCTTTCCATATTATATAGGTGTATCAAGCTTTATTATTTCCCCAAAGGTGTTTGTCAGCTAGCAACACTATTGGTTGCATCATATACATCATAAACAACCTCTTCGGTTCCGCTGTAGCTGAAACCAGAAGATGCAATGTCACTTCTGTTAAGGGAAGCACACCAATTTTTCTTGTTGAACCCCCCCCCCCGTTTCTGCGAAAGCGCAGGGACATTAAATTTCATTCGTCTGTTAGAAAAACTTCAACTTTGGGCATAACATTTGCTTGATCGAAGATAGGGCTATCATATATTTCAGTTGTGAATTATCCGTGATAAAGCCTTTCCGAATGTACTATATTGATCTTGTGACATTGACCTTGAAATTTGACCAACTTTTCAAAAATGTTAACATGGAAAATAACTTTTCAATAAGAGAAAATAGGGCTTTCATATTTTGTATTTTAATTACTGAGACGATACCTTTTCGAGTGTCCAATGATTTTTTTTTATCCCTTACCCTTGAAATTTCACCTACTTTCCAAAAATCTTAACATTGATCATAACTTTTGAATGAGAGAAAAGAAAGCTTTCATATCTTATTTATTCATTTCCTGTGGTAATTTCAAGGAGTATTATCATTTTTTACCTTGACCTTCAACTTTGACCTACTTTAAAAAAAGCTGTAACATTTGTACCTGAAGAGACTGAACTTTATACTTTTCATCATTATGTGCATTACTTGTACATGTGGTAAGACATTTCACGGTGTACTATTTTTTACCTCATAACCTAGACCAGTTTGACTTGTAAAACTCAAATCTTGGCTGAAACTTTTGCACCAGAACATATTCCAAAAATAGAGAACATTTTTTTTGTTTGCATAATGGATAGACAAGCCAGTTACAATCATTGTAACTCACCAATAAGACCCCAAAAGCCTTAGCCTTATAACAGATTTTTCTAGTAGTCACTTACGGAAAAATGTTGAAACATCTGTCACAATATAAAAAAAAACCTATAAACTCTCTTTGTTGAGTTTTGTTTTATCCCTTGTTTGAATTGTATCCTGCAGATAACTCTCATCCGGTCGTCTATATATGGGTTCAATAGAGTACAAACAAAATATTGTACAGTTCAAGTGCGGATATATTGTGATCACAGCGGTTTGCCCCCATGAAAAACTCGAAAATGCAGTTGCTTCCAAATTGGATTTAAAAGTCGTCTCCCTCTAGCCAGTTGGGGGTGTGGGGTAGTATGGGGTGGAGGTATTCATCATTGAATTATTTAAGTCCACTGTGGTAAAATTCCTATTTACTGCATTGTCCTTTAATTTTTTAAACTCTAAGGCTAACTAAATGATCTGAATTTAAATACATAGGGTGATTCAGGATTTTTCTTTTTCGGGGGGGGGGGGGGGGATGCTAAATTGGATTTTCAGTGTAATAAACTTTGCTTAATACTGTGGAGTAAACCCTGCACTCAGGGTCATAAATTTCACAATTTTGCTAGAGAGCCCTTTTATTCACAATACGCAAGACATCCAGTGTGCCTTTTAGAAATCCAAATAAAAAGATTTTCAAAGATTTTCAAAAATCAAATACAATGTATATATATAGATATAGATATAGATATATATATATATATATATATAGATTCATTAGCCCCATACTACATGTACTACCTACGGATCAATTTGTTATAACAGATTAATAATTTGTTATAACAGATTAGTAATTTGACATAACAGATTAATAATTTGTTATAACAAAGTACTATTTTTGACAAAATTTGAAGATGTATACAGATCTACTTTTCTCAAATTTGTGTTTAGCCCAGTTTCAAAGAAACTATTCAAGAAATTGTCATCAAACTTCATACACTAATACAAATTTTCATGTAGCATTACTAATGAACCCTGGGTGAGGCATATTTCTAGTTTAATGTTGGTTCTCCTTTATCTGAAAATTTTCACAATTTGACTGATGAATGACAATTATAACAGTCACTTAGTGATTCAGTTGACATATAAGTCCATTATAAATATATGTTGTTAGTTACACAATACAGTGTTTTTCTTCTCACAAACAAAATACAAACCAATATCCTTACACCATGCAGTTTATTCACATTAACACAGTTTATTCACATTAACAAGACAATGTTCCATATGTATATCTGGTGAAGACACTGACTACATCAACAAGACGCTGTACACAGTGTAATTTCTAATGATGGCAGTGTTAGAACCAATAATAGAAATCCTCAAAATTGCACATACCAAAAATCATGTGAAAAATGCATTGCACATTAGATTATAAATGTGGTGAAAAATGCTTATCATTATGCAAAGGATGAGCCTGCCAAAAATTTGAATTATTATTCAAAACATCCATGAACGTCTACCTTTTTTCTAAATACATGTATAATTCCATCTATTTAAAAATACCATAATACCACAGTTGCCTATAAGTCAGATTTTTTTGGAGTGAGATGTTGGTACACCTGTCCGACTGGAGACCAGTCCTAGAAACATAGGTATTTTTCTGGATTATGAAAAGTAGTATTTTTAATTTGTTAAGAATAAAAGATTAAATATCGATGTACTTTCCCAAAATAGGTAAATACATAGAGTATTGTTATGAAATTAATATGTTGATGATAAAAGATTAAATATCAGTTACAAATTTCAAAACCCATGTAAAAACATTAGAATATTGATCCGAGACTATTAACCGATTCTGGCAAAAAGTTGTACTGACTTAAGAATGTCAATGTCAAATCCTTTCAAAAAAACCCTTAAAAAATACAACAAACTTGTTAGCGGACCGACGTACAGGTGAGTATATATGGTAAGAGAAGAAGAAGATAGGAAAATTGAAATTTGTAACATTGAAGACGCATCATTATTCTTCAGTTCTTGCTATCAAAAGCATATAGATTCCTGTAAATGTCTACAAATGAAATATCCTAGTAGATATAAACCATCAAAACTGACATCACAACAGATATTATTTACAGGCTACAGCTTGGATTTCTACTGACTTCAGTAACATACTTATGTTGACTAACTGCAGATTCTAAAACAGAATCAATTTAAAATGATCTAAGAAAAATAATTATCATCAAAAAATGATAATTTTTTCAGCATATTACCATATATCACTCTAGAATTCTTATTTTATATCCTACAGTTCTATTAATATGCAATTACAATCAATTTACCAGTAATATGGTGTGCTTAAATCTTTTCTATCAAAAAATACTTCCAGATGATTGAAAGTGCTTTTGATTTCTTGGCATGAAATATTTGGCATATATGTAATTATATACAGGGTGTGAATATGATTTTATATGGAATGCGTGAGATAATACTGCTATCAGGGTATTTCCCATGACTACAATTCTTGTACATGTATGAAATATGGGGAAAAATTCACAGGATGACAAAGAATTGAAGCTGCAAGAATAATAAACCATCAACTTTTTGTTCCTGATCTATTACAGATTCCATAGAAAGATATTCTAAAATGACTGCAATAGGACAACAAGTATGTAACTACCTTATGTCATTTAATACTAATGTGAAGATGCATCAAAAACATGTATATATATACTTAAAAGCAGAAAATGCATTTGGACGGAATGTCTGAGAATGAAATGACACTTTATGAAATAGTTAAAAATACATGTAAGTGATCTTGACTACATCCACATATATAATCTAATCACAGAGTGAAACATTTAAGAAAAAAAAAATATTAAACACAAGTTTTCAACACTTTTTTTCAGACATGGCATAAATGACTCAAAGATATGAGACAGCAATATTTGGTATAAAAAACATAAAAAAAAAAACCCAACAAATACAATATAATGGATTTCAGTCTCAGTAGCTTGGCAGAAGTCAAATGCTTTCTTGGGGCAGAGAAGAGGCTGTGGACACAATGGCAGGGTACTGTACATTATTTCAGGACTTTCCATAAGTCCTTATAAAGTGATTCAAATCTCTGATTCCTCACTAGATTCTGGCACTAGGTATTCTCTATTTTCATAAGTCCAGAAGTCATTCAAGTCTATAAGTATACTCACAACTGTGTCTCCTTTACCACTGAAACAAGATGCATGTACATGAACAAAATATTTATGATGTTTAGATTTTGACTTTCAAAACATTCTAAAAGCACAAACCAAAGTCAAATGTAAAATTCAATATTGAAATGTGGTACAAAATATTACAAGGCATACTGTTTGGTATAGAATTTGCCTCATAGTAAAGTTTTTTTGCACTAAGAAATTTATATCTAGCTTTCCTATTACATTACTGGATTAATATTCCTGTCAGGGCACACACAAAACAAGCACATGCATCAAGAGGCCTGTATAGTCATCTGTCACATTGCAAGTTTTCCTGAGCCATGTTACATTACCACTATCACACACACTTGATTCTACACAGCATGAAAGCAAATGCAGTGAATTTGACAATTGGCAGTCCTGTATACAAGATACAAGATTTATTAGTCCAATTTGGGCCTCCGGAGGAGCAAAAAAGATTTACAAACATGAAACAAAGAAGGAGGAAGATCCAAATGATAGAACAAACATGATCTTAAATATAATGAGCAGTGCTTAATTGTATTCTTTGAGATTCTTTGTATATATTTGAGATAATTTTTAAAAAAAAAAAAAAAGTCTTTCCATATGTACATGTATGTATTCCTACACAAAAATTTGGAACCTTTTTTGTATCCTCTCCTAGTGAAAAATGTGAATCCTTTTTTACTGCCCACCCTGCCCAGGTACCTTGCTTTGAATAATCTAAAATCTGCACTTCTTTCATGTATATCACTTTTATTATATGCTGCCCTGTTATCATTGCAAAGTAGATTTTTGACAGTTTTTCTTTGTTTTTTTTGGTACTTTACCCTTTACTTTAAACTTTAGACCCCATTTGTGGTTGTTCCCATGCCTCAGAAACCAGGATTTGATGAAAAAATTAATCTAAACTACCCCGGTAATTCAGTATGGTTGCATGTAAGTTTGATAATTTGTAGATATGGTTCCTCAGAAGATTTTTACAGATTTTTCTTTCACTTCTGTAAGTAAAACAATAAGCTCCCTTTGTGGTCCCTGAGCTATGGTTTGAACAAGCTTAATTAAATCTTCACAATAAAAGAAACCTTCCATATTTTGTCATTTCTGGCTTAGTTGTTCTTGTGACAAAGACTAAAATGACCCCACCCTAATTTCAGTAATTCTGAATTATGCTGAATCCCCATTTAAACCAAAGGATGCTTTGTGGCAAGTTTGGTTTAATTGAAAAAAAAATTGAGAAGTGTATGCATGACTCAAGGACTCAGATGACTTGAAAGACAGGATGACACAGTGATTCTTAAATATCCCTTAATAATTATTGGAGGAGGATTGGTAAATTACCAGTTGATGAGATCTTGAAGAGTAATATGTAGAGGATCCCTTGGCTTCACCATATCAAATATTTCATCTTTTACATCATGAAAAGAAACTGGTTCCTGGCCATGGATCTTCATCTGTTCTTGTATAGCCTAGAAAAGGGAGGTTTATGGTCTGTTAATAAATAATTGGGATGAGGTAAATTAAAATAATAATCCAAGTTAATACACATACAATATTTCAAGAGGCCCATGGGCTACACTGTTCACCAGTATTACTTTCCCTATTTGATGAATGAGTTAATTTATATATCCCTTATATGACCTCCAACTAAGGGCTATTCCAATAAAAGTTATCTTAGGGGTGGGACACCATTTAATTTTTTCTGTTGGTGATGGTGGAGGGGGGACATTTTTGTTTTCTCAAGGGTGGGGGTAGATGATTTAGTTTCTTACTGTTGTTGGGAAAGGGGGGGGGGGGTTGTCTCTCCGGTGTGAAGCTACCAAGATATATTATAATGACGTGTATACTGTAATGAATTTGAAGTGTATATACATGTATTTACATTTAAATAAATGTATCCATTCAAATCCAGCCCTCTTGGTGTTGAGCCTACCCTGGGTAAATATTCTTAAGTAAAACTGCTTTCTTTGGCCTACCTCGTCTCTGGGGCCATGACTAGAACAATCTTAAAACTGAATTAAATAAACATGCTTGCATATTAATTTAATTGATTGTATTTTAATCTAGTTCACCCCAACTTAAGCCTTTATAGTTATAAAAAGCTGATTGTTATAATTTTTTATCAATACTCCTACATACCTTCCTTAGGGTCATAATTTAACAAACTTTGAAGCTATATTGCCATATTTTTACAGTAATCATTACAAGGTGGCTTTTCTAAAATTATAAGATTTTAAGATCTAAGATTTTAACTGTATGGTTCCTGAGATTATTGTTAAATGCTCTATCCTATTTTCACTCCATAAGTTGTACATGTATATAAAATACATGTATCTACTATGTAAAATTGTAAATGGCCTTTTCATGAACAAACCTTAATCCTATTTATTTATGGATCTTAATGCCAAGTTTGTATGAAACTGGCCATGAGTTTTAAGTGAACAAATCAAAATGTTAACATTTATCATCAAAAAGAAAGATACTAGGCATTATACAATGCCAATACAATTAAAACCAGAAGTCTCTGACGAGACTGTAGCTCTACTGGTTGTACTTATAAAGGAAGATAAAAGTAGCACTTGGACTTCAAACTTTGCAACAGCAATAAATAGAATAATGATCCTTGGTTTAGTCTCTTTTTGTGGCAAGATTTATTGCAATCAGACTAAAACTGTAGGAGGAGTAGCATTTTGAAAGTATTTCAAGAAAATTTCTATTTTAAGTAACCATGGCAACACTGTTCACTGAAATCCACAACTGATACAGAGAATTATTCATCTTAGTGTAGTCTACTTGTGTGCTAAGTTATACTAAAATCAGACCAAAACTGTAGGAGGAGTAGTATTTTGAAGGTATTTCAAGGAATTTTTAGTAACCATGGCAACAAAAATAATCGAAATCTAAAATCGATAAAAAGAATTATGTATCTTAGTGTAGTCTACTTCTTTGCCAAGTTATACTGAAATTGGACTAAAACTGTAGGAGGAGTAGCGTTTTGAAAGTTTTTCACAGAAATTTCTATTTTTAGTAACCATGGCAACACCATTCATTGAAATCAAAAACCGATAGATAGAATTATGTATCTTAGTATAGTCAACTTGTGTGCCAAGTTATATTTAAATCAGATCAAAACTGTAGGAGGAGTAGTGTTTTGAAAGTTTTTCACAGAAATTTCTATTTCTAGTAACCATGGTAACACCGTTCATTGAAATCAAAACCGATATACAGAATTATGTATCTTAGTATAGTCTACTTGTGTGCCAAGTTGTACTGAAATCAGACTAAAAATGTAGGAGGAGTAGCGTTCTGAAAGTTTTTCACAGAAATTTCTATTTATAGTAACCATGGCATCACCGTTCATTGAAATCAAAAACCGATACACAGAATTATGTATCTTAGTGTAGTCTACTTATGTGCCAAGTTATATTGAAATCAAACCAAAACTGTAGGAGGAGTAGCATTTTGAAAAATTGTTTACAGACGGACGGACAGACAGACGGCTAGACAGACGGACAGATGACGGACACCTTACTATCGCATAAACTCTTCTGGTCTCTGACCAGTAGAGCTAAAAAACTGAACAGAACAGTTTCAAGGTTTACATAAAATTTCTGTGTGTACATGAAGTTTTTTCCAGTAGACATTTTAAAAATTGGAACTTTCAAATCTAAATTATAATAATGTTGAAATAAAACAATTTCTACTTACTCTAAAGAAGTAATTCAGAGAAAAGACATTCAGATATCCCACATGTTTGACATCAAGAATTCTGAACAAGTATCTGAGGGACTGGGGTTCTCGCCGATTCTCCAGGGCAAGGACAAAATCAAGGTATGTCTTATAATCCTACAAATAAAATGTCAAACTCTGGGGTAAAACACAAACAAGAGGCCCAAGGGCCTTAACGGTCACCTGAGTATTATACACCATAGAGGTATGAAAGAGTATGAAATAATAGTATGAAGTATGAAATAAAACATAATATACTAATAGATGAAGATATGCTGTCCAAATGCAAGAGAAACAGGATGATCAGGGATCAACAAAATAGCTAGTCTAGTACTCAGTAACATATCATAGAGTACATCTATTTACTTGCCTGTACTGGCCAGTGCTAATACACAATTGCCATCATGTGTAGATCTAAAAAAAATTTCCAGTGGATGGGGGGAGGGTGTCCACAACAACTTAAAAAAAATGACTCCAAACTTTTTAGACAAGCATAAAAAAGATGTCCACAACTGACCTGGACTAGACGGAAGGGGGGGGGGGGGGGGGGGGGGGAGGGGGTGAAATTCAAAATTTTTGTTCCCCTTCACCCATGAATGCTATATGCCAAAATTGTTTAAATTGTTTCAGCAGATCCAAAGAGAGAAAAAGCTGAAAATTTTCAAATGTTAAGACACTACGGACAAAAACAGATAGCAAAAGGTCACCTGAGTAACTCGTGTGACCTAAAATACTTAAAAAGTTGAAAATACACATGGGAGTTTGCTTGATATTTAAGAGGGGACATGTTCTCAAATTGCCGAAACGAAGTTTTTTTGGATTATCCTTACCATTTCTCCTTCATATGTCAGGCACTCTTGAAACACACGATCTAGGAACACTTGAGTCAGGGTACCTGTACCATATCTAAAACACAAACAGAAAACATATTAGCAATGCTTTAATCATAATCAAATTAGGAAATTGCTATTTTTATCAAATCAATGTAAATAGTCATTAGTCTGGTTTCCCTTAATTTCATTTACACTAATTTACAGAATCATCAATGATGCATTGCCTCCTGTTTAAACCACTGTGAAAGATGAACAGAAGTTAACAACGATGTTAATTTTGATAAACTTTAAAATTCTATTCTGCATTTCATTACCACCTTTCTAAGAACACATCAATATACCACAACCTAAAATTTTCTACACTGCAGTGAAATTTGAATGTAAATTTATACATTTAAGCAATGGAGAGAAATTACAAGTATATGGACAGAAAACTTTATAATTTATTAAATACCTGGGGAAAATGACAAGCAAAATCAATTCTTTATAGTGCATCAAATATTGTGTATTTGCAGCATAAATCACCAAAGGGAAAATGGATAAGTGACAAACCTTGCCAACTCTTCTTTGCTTAGCATGCCATTGTGATCTTTGTCCAGGTTCAAATACTGACCATACACCCTTAAAGCAGAAGGGGCAGAGAACCAGTTAGACTGCTGCATCTCTGTAGATAAATCTTCATCTCTAAGCTGAAAGGGAAATTATGCATAACAGCTTTATTTTTTGTAAAATTAAAGTTATTTTCACAAAATATAAAAGTCTTATATATTTACATGTATACTAGCACCATGCGTCATGAGGATCTTGAAAACTGAACACAGTCTAAAGTGTTTTCTGCTTTTAATATCTTTCAAACGAAAATGCTCCTATTATTTGAGATGCTAGTGGTAGGAAGTAAACATATAAACCTCTAATAAATCATCCAGAAAGCTGCAAGCCAGAATATCCTGTATTTTAATCCTACCAGTCCTCATAGGGTCCAAGAAAAAGAAGAACTTTCTTACAGCAGTACACACATAGAAAGAGTAGAAAGATTTCTCCAGTCCATTCAGCTGTAAAATTAAAAGAAATTATTACATCAAGTCAAAATGCCTGTTTTTCTTGTAAAAACAGGGTTCGACACTAACGTTAGTCTGTTAGTCTCAGACTAATACATTTTCATTTGGACTAATAAAATCTGTGGCTAATTAGTCCGAACGGACCAATAAAAATTCCTGGAAATCAACATGAATAATTTACCGATGTCCAATTCTCCACAACTTTTACTGGAAAACCCTGCATTTATTTTTAGCTTTCTAGATTTTTGGCGGGGAGTTAGACAATTTCGAGTGAGCACTTAATTTTTTCGACTGATTGGTTTGAAGTAAAACGTTTTAGTGATCATAATTAATATGACACATAAAAGAAAGATGTCAGACATTTTGGATGTAATGTAAAGAGAAAAAGAACTAGATCGAGAATACAATTGTACTCGTTGATCGCGAGATTTTAACGAATCTGTGCTATACGTGGAATAAACCATTTCACGTAAATGCTTTGTTTATTTAAAAAAAGTACAAAAACATATATTGAAATGTTTATTTTTAAATCAATGTTACAAAACGTTGATGTTTCTTTTTTTTGACGGACTCATAAAATTGCATGCAGACTAGTAAAAGTAAAGAAGCACTAGTCTGGCCGGACTAAAACCTTAAAATTTAGTGTCGAACCCTGAAAAATGCCATAATGCAGATTTATCTGCTATTTAACTTGTCATAAAATAAATATATGCCTTGAAGTTAACTGAATAAATAATGATTTTCAAAACATTAGACATGATCATATAATGTACGTGTAAATACACGTACAATGTTCATGTGTAAATACAAACTGCAATAACAGTCTACTTATTATCAGTGTTTTCCCTTTGTTTCAAAGTAAAGGGTTAAAGATCAATTGTAACAGGCTAAGGGTTGATGTTTATGAACAGATTCTCTGTCAACCTTACAACAATTATTTTCAAATTTTTTATTTCTAAGCGGCATTTTTATTAATTGAAGCGGTCAATTTGGCCAGAAGTCGGTTCTTAAGGAAAACACTGTATTATACTTCTAATAATCCTCCTCATGCTCTTACTGCTGAGATAAAAGTAACTCCATACCTGTGGAAGTGTTGGAATCAATTCTAAAATGTAATTCTCTAGATCCTAAAAAGTAAAAGAAACATATGAAGATATATTATTGAAAAAAATATTTCAATTGCTATTATTTCTGTAAGTATTACCAGTATACATATGGAGTTCTCTTATAGAAATCTTTATATTGCATCATGGTGTCCTATGTTTAGTGAACACATTTTTTTTTTTAGCAATTTTGAACTCAAAGTAAAAGGGCATAAACTACCTAAGTGAAATGGTATGAATTAAACATGGACTAAAAATGACCTCTTTTTCATGTGATAGTCTTACTACAATACCCAATTCCAGTGAAATCAATAGGATTAAAATTTATCAAACTTTTGTTAATTTATCTTCCAGGCTAGTTTCATGTGGAAACATATCTTATCTGTCTTTTTCCACTTAGTAGAACAGAACAATTATCAATATCAATTTAAAATGACATGTATTAAACATTAAATAAATAATTTCATTATTCACTTTCTGAATTATTTGTAATGTCATATTAATTAGGCCAATTAAAAACATTTTTTTCCAAGATTTCAATATTAAAGTTTTATCTCTTATATACATTTTTTCTATCATGACATCAAATGACCTAAGACAAATGGGAAAAAAAAAGGTCTGACATTTTCCTACAAATACTCACTAAAGATGATATTTTTCTACACAGCAATTATTTTCTTCTTCATTTTTTTTTTTTTTTTTTTTTTTTGATGTGCACAATGTGAAAAATATTATTTGGAGGAAAAAATTATGTTTAAGTGGGGGTTGAGTAATATTCACACAATATTAAGGTAGACTGGGACTTACAGATTCCTTAAGGTACCCCTGTCCAGCCACATCATAGAGAGAAAGACCAATCCTTGTCTGATGAAGCCAAACCTTTCTCATCACATAGTTAAAGAACTGCATAATGGAGATCCTACCATAGGGATCCATCTGTAGGAGTTTTGTAAACACAGAGGCAGTAAAAAACTGTCTGCAAAAAAAAAATAAATAAATAAATAAAAATAAAAAACAAATAAATTAGGATCATTATCCTGATTTTCTTAAAATATCAAATCTTGATGTGAATGCTTCAGGGATTCAAAATTCCAAGCCTTATAAGACCAAGTAATTCCAGATTCGGACATGACAACAAGAAATCCTGTTTCATAGACATTTTCTACGGTAGGGCATCTGATTGTAATAATAAATCACTGAAGGTGCAGATTTGAATATCTGTCTTCCTTATTGAAAACATCTAAGATATTCAACTACATTATGTTTCCTGACTGAGATCAATTTATGATCCATTCCTTAGGACTGTTATACAATGTGCATGTAGATGATAGAGATTTTGATGTACAAAGCCCTGAAAAAAAGTATTAGAATGCATACAAAGCAATTTTTTGAAGTCACTGGTGTGATGTAAATGTCAATAATCCTACCTTCTTTATAATGTAATTGCCTTTTATACGAGTTAAAAGAATTTTCTGAAATCATATTTTTTATTACACAATCAAACAAATTGTTCTTAATTTACGAAGAAACATTCAGCTTGAATTTGGATATATGTCATTCTGACTCTCTAAAGTTATGCACTGAACCGGAGTATGTGACAAAAAAAAATTGTACACTTGATGCTTCTTGACTTTTACCTCCAAGAGTTACATAAAAATCAGCAACTTTGATCCACATGAAAACTAATTCTCCAATGCTAAGACATTTTGTTTGCTATTTATACCATGAACATATATAAATGTACTTATGCCCCTCTATGGGTAATTTTACAAGACTTCATCTAAATGAATTCATCTAAAAATTTATGAAGAACAGTACAAGTTTTTATCAATTTAAAAAATGCAGACCTGTTTACCCATATTGTTGTCTGTCAGTATTTTTTATAAGATTTGTCAGTGAGATTTGGTATTATCCGGAAGATTTCACTTTTCATCGATTTTACATATTACTACAGAACAACTACATTTCTAATTACCAAAACATGGTTTAATAACAAAGAAAAACATCATACCTTGCTTTCTTTCGAGGGGTTTCTGTCATTTTTTATACCACCACATTTTGGCAACCCGACATTATTTAAGTGTTTGAAATTTATATCTTTTTTAGCGATTAAAAAGCGTCAAACTGAGACAGATCATAACAAAAAACTAACTGCTAAATTAACAACGAATGGATTTCCGATTTCCGTATTTTCATAATAGCATAACATATTTTTGACTCAAAATCCGTAGCAATACGGTGAAATCGAAAAAGTAAACAGGACTGAAAATGTGAAATGGCATTTAGAGAGATGTCTGCTTAAAAACAGGTTAGACATTGTATTCAAACCCTGAGTGGGCCTAAGTTGTTGCTCTCACTGTGTTTAATACTGTACTCTGGCATTAGTAGCTTACTTGCACTTTGGACCAGCTTCCTCCCCCACTTTCAGAAAATCCTCATAATTAATCATTTGGTCCTCCCCCACAATGGGAGGAGTATGGTGCTGATCTAGTAGAAACCATAGTCTCTGTTCATAAAATTCAAACAGGTATTTAGGTGAACACAAAATAAAAAAAAAATCAAGATCTTTAAAGCATGCAATAAACTTACACAAAAAAGGCACTTCAAATTTACAATAAATTAAGACAGAGATAACAGGAGAGATTAACATCATCTTTATAAGGCATTACATGTGAAATTATACATGTAATTCATGCTTCTAGAAAATATAATCTTCTTGAAACATTTGAAGCTGCTTTTCCCATAAAGCTTCCATGCTAAATTCCCATGAGCAAACCGTTAGGTCAAATTGATCCAATCTTTTGGAAGGCCTGGAATTCTGTTGTTAAATTGGTTTTACTTTTGACAGCAAAATAGATACTTGATTCATATTCAATCATTACACTGGTGCATGATTTATACTGTATATTTAAAAATTTTATTAGGTTTCAATGAGAGATGATGTAGCTACAGCAGAACCTGTCATCATTTCTTTCTCCAGTGACCTATATATATACATGTATACCTGTAATTCATCATTGTCCAGCAACTCTCTGCTCCTTCTTTGTAAAAATACAGCCCTGAAATATCCATGTAGTACAAATTGTTAATTCATAATGAATTGAGTATAATGATACATAAAGGATAAAACCACATGCCTTTTAAATCTCTAAACTATTGAATTTTTACTTGGTACATGTAATAGAAACTGGAGAATCTTGCCCAATATCAGTATTTCAATGGTATGCTTTATAGTTGTAAGTTGATTTCTTTTTAAATCTCATTACAGCATCAGTATATTGAGTTGTTTAATGAAATAAACTGAGAACCTGGACTCCTCCCTTAGTTTCAGCATTAACGGTTCATCTTCTGAAGGAAGCTACAAACAAGATGGATAAAATCATTACAATTAAAAAAAGTTATATTCTTCTAAACTTGTTTGCAAAAAAAATCTGCAATGCAATTAAGGAATCTTTCTCTTAAATATATGAGGGTAGATTTTAAATATACAAAAATAACATGATATTACAATTCCAACAGGTAAACATGCACCATACTTACTTTCACATATAGGGCTGGCTCATTTTTGTAGCCCTTGTCAATACCCTTCCATTCTGAGTAGTATTTTGTAAACAGAGTAGTTTCCTCTGCCTTAGCTTTGCTAGGATCAGATGTTTTCTTTTCTGCAAGAATAACAATGTCACATACATGTATTTCTTACATAGCATTCAAGTAAGAGCAATGTTATGTTTATCTTAATGTTTCTGTGGAAGAATTGTCTTGGTAGGGCATGTAATAACTGTTCCCAAACTTCAGTCTGGATACTTCTAGTATGAAAAATATAGGTCAGATGTATGCAGTACCTTAAACATAACTGACAGCATGCATCCCCAGATGTACCAACTCACAAGACTGGTCTAGCTGAGGCTATTTTTAACTGAGTATAATGAACCTAAAATGAACCAAAACTAACACCTGGCCACTCAATCAGAAATCTGAGTATAACACAGCACCAGTGTAAGATTATTACATGTAGTATAAATCCCTTAGGTTGCAGTGCTGCATGTGCAATGATAAATTGTTTGTCCTTTCCCAACTGAAAATAAGGTGCACCAAAATGGCACATGATATGCCTGTCATGAAAACAGCTAGGTCATCATAAATTACTTTATAGAGCAATTATACACCATGCTTCAAAATTTGTTGATTGTAGGTCTCATACTTAGTAGTTAAACTACATATAATCCTACACTATCTGACTATAGCTAGAGAATTCACAACTGAAATCACATTGACATAATTTTGATAGCAGTAGTATCAGACCACTAGAATGCAAATCAACATACATGATCACTGTGGATTGCCTCAATTCCTTAGCCATTCAGACAACCCAAAAGTATGTTAAGAAACAGTCACTGATCATACAAGCAAGATTCCGGGAAAGTGAATGGAGAATGCTTTGATTTAATTCCCAAACAACCTCGCAAATTAACGTGCCAATACCTACGATTATTTCACACTCACTGTGACATCATTTAGAGGCAAGTATTTGCAATAACTGCAAGATGATCATTTCCTACACACCTCAGGGGTGCATTAATTTAATATAAAAAAGATTGCTATCAGTAGCTCTAAACATATAGTTGTGGTCAAACCATAAAAGGTTTGCTAGTCATCATGCTTACTTAAAAGGTTTAATAAAAGGCATCCTGATATGTTTGAAATTCTTTTATTTTCTCAAAATTAATATGCACTCATTTTTTTCAATTTAAAATTGTCTGTGGATATTGCTGGCAAGGACAACCATGTTTTAACACCCAAAGACATGTTCAATTGATTGTCCCCCAGGTGCTTGGGTTTTAGATATATGAATATGTATATAAATGATACATTATATATGATAAGTTAAAATATATAGAGAGCTCTAATAAATAGTCTTTAATAAAAACCTACTAAAAGTAGAGAGAATTTTAGCTTCAATATCTTGGCGTTGTATTGAACACCGAGTTTGCAAAAACACATGAGTATGTCCCAAAACATTCCAAATGTGAGCATTCAATATAAAAGGCCCTTTTGCAAACAAAAAATGTCATCTTGTCAATTGCTCAATGGCGAAATGTTGGGTAGGGGCAGCTTTGTAGGATGTGCCTATTTTCACAGAAAATTGAAATTATCAATTAATAATTCAGTACCTATAAGCCTCAATAAAAACCTCAATAAGCAAATCATAACGCTTGGTAAGGTCAATGAATGAGCACTTCCATAACAGATGCTGATATTGCACAATTTCAAAAACTGATACTGAAAATTTCTCATTAATTTTGAGTTATTTTATTTAAATAAATTATAATTAACATAAATCAATGGCAAAATGCTTTAGCCATATAATAAAGGAGTTATTGTAACCCTATAATAATGAAATTATTACATGTTATAAGGTACTGTATCATACATGAAAATTCATATAGTACAATTTTATTGTTGAAATGAGCAATGTCATTTACAAATTGTTATACTATCCATTGGCATATCTTTTCCTCATTATTGTAATAATTTCATACTTGTCTGTTATGGGCTCTTAATTAGAAAATTAATGTTCTGTTCTGTTCTATAGTCACCCATGGATTGTCCGTGGGAAGCAACTGCATACTGTGTAAGCAAATTACTGCAAGATGATCATTAATTTTTGATCATGTTTTGTTTACAATTTTCATCATGATTTAATGTTTACAATTTTTACACTCACTTTTCTGATTCTCCACAAACTTTCTCAATGCTTTCTTTAATTCCATTTCAGTCTTTCTTTCTAAAACTGTTATAGTCATTTTAATATTGTTAGCATTGTCATAAACATGATAAAGTCAGTCGAAAGAACTTTCCTTTTTTCATTCCCTCTCTTATTTCATGTCCTGCAATTTCATTGGTCAATTCCCTAGAAACTCAAGCAGCGACACGGCAATTGTTCAAAGGGAGATAACTGGTTGTACTTTCATGTTGAGACAAGACGAAACTTGATTGTATTGGTGTCATTCGAATGATAAAACATTAAAGTGTAAATTTATTTTTTAAAAAACTTTAATGATATATTAATATTATTGTTTACGGATATAATTGCATAAACTTTCGGTTCTCTAAGGCCTCACGTTTAAATATTGAGTAAAACTTATATATTTTTATGATAATAAATCATACAGAAAGACAGCATATATGTATATAATAGTATTTTAAAGGAATGTATTTTTTTTTTCATTTCTGTGGTGTATAAATAGTGTACGGTGCCGTTTTTACAGTATAGTAATCTAGGAACGAGTTAGCCATTTCCGAACACCCCGAAGAAGATGGCGTCCGGTATGTTTTCCAAATTTAGGTTTAACCTTTTAAAATTATTTTTTTTATCTTGAATACATTAATTTTGACGCTTCTCCGTTTATTTTTGTCAATTAACTTCTTATGACAAGAACATTACCAGAAAATACAGAATGGTGTTGTGTTTATTTCTCAACCAAGGTTGAAACAATATTTCAACCTAAGTTGAAAACATTCAAAATGTAAAAGGAATGGTGAAAATGACGGACGAGACCAGGATTATAACCCCAACCCTATGAATTATAGAAAGGCGCTCCACCTACTGAGTCATCTGGACACCATTGATCAATTTGCTGACCGCCACATTCCTCGCTCCTTAAACAGGTTGGGCACAGCCCACTAAACAGGTCCGGCACAATCTCTTGATTAAGCTATGTAGCTTGATTTAGCTATATAGCTTTATTTAGCTATTCAGAATAGCTTGATTTAGCTATTTTATCACACTTTTTTCTCAAATGTGTGGTTTTCCAAGTATGCACAAAAAGTCGCACCTTGGTGCAGTGATGATATTCAACCTTGAACTCTTATGAAAATAATGCATGTAAAAATCACTCATCAAATTGTGTCTCCTTAAGAGACTTTGTACTCAAAGTTCTAAAAGTTTTGGGGCTATATAAAGCAATTGATACAGTTACTTCTTCAATGAAATTATAAAGGAGGCCAATTAGGTCAACATAATTGATTGGTAATAATTCAGTACAATGAGAAGCAATCATACTTATCCATGCCTCAACGCACACAAGGTAGTGTACAGTTACCCAAACAATAGAAATTCATCTTTTGCTTAAAAGTATTCAAATGCTGCAATGTTAGAACTATCTTTGATTTGGGTTGGTGATTTGATAACCCATATTACATATATGAATAGTCAAATCTTGCGACTTTTTGTCTACTTTGTACAAATAACATTTTTGTGAAAACCTGCATATAAATAGCTTTATCAAGCTATTTTGAATAGCTTAATAAAGCTACATAGCTATTTCAAGCTATATAGCTTAATCAAGAGATTGTGCTGGACCTGCTAAATGATGGTTCAGTCCCTGTTTGGTGGTCAATTACCCACATCGAAGTCGGTATTTACGGACCATATGGGAGAGAAAAATCTTTTGGTTCAATTCCATGGTATGGAATGGAATATAATTTTAACTAATGTGGATTAAAAATATAGACGTCATGCAGATATCGGTGCCATGGTATTGGGTCCGTTTGCCCTATATCTACCTGTTTGCATGAGTCCGTTCGCGCAGGGTCCGTTTGCCATCATTTTCATTCGCCCTGCATCCTGTTCGCAATATATCCTGTCACCCTATTGATGATATTTTATGTCATCATTATTATAAAATTTTAAGTAATTTCTTCTTTTTTTTTTAAATTTTGTTATTAAATAGAACTAGTAATATTTTTAATATATATTTCCTTTCCATCAGTGTTGACTTTCTTGCTGATTTTATTGTTTATCAAAGATGTAATCAGTTTAATTACTGTTTAATTTCATAATTAGTACTGTAAATTAGGGAACACTTTATTATTTTTTTAAGGTCATTTTACATATATGTTTTGAAAATAATTAAGGAAAATGAGAGTGACAATAATCATGCTAATAGGCCATTTTAATTGGGGATGAGCAGCCTCTGAGCAACAGGTTTATTTTTGGTAGAATCTTTTATTCTCAACTTAATATAACGTTATAAACCTTTACAAATAAATTAACGAGTATCACATCGAATATATATGTTCAGTAAAATTCCCTGATGCCTTTGCACCTTTTACAATTGTACAAGTAAAACTCATATCTTTGTTTGGTGAGGATAACCAGTAACACCCAATTAGTTTTGTTTGCCATCACAAAAAATTTAATAAGAAGGTGTTTAAGATTTCTTTATTTTTAAAGTATATATGTTATGTTGTCTACAATGTAAAAATAAATAAAGTTAAATGTTTACTGATTTTAGCAACTGATTTTCAGACATTTACTTGATTATTCAGTTAACCGTTTCTAATCCTAATTAATAAATTTGTGAAATTTTTCTCAAGTATGTTTTTGCTGGGTTAAATCCACCTTGTTGCTTTGCATACAAATAGGATTGGGAATTAATTTATATGCATGATACACAACTATTGTCATAGATTTGTAATAATTTATTTATATTTACAGACACATCCTTCTGGATTAAGTTTTTCACGGAGTGCGGTATACCAGCTGGAGAGGCCACTAATTATGCCATCATCTTCACTGACCACAGGATTCAGAAAGACATGCTGATAGACCTCACGAAAGAGTACCTCAAAGACATGGGAATCACTGTACTTGGTGATGTCATTGGCATCCTCAAGCATGCAAAGGAAGTCCATTCCCAGGTAAAAGCAAAATACCTTTCAGCTCATTGTTTTGTTTTCAACTGTATCAATTGAGATTTTTAGTGTTGCAGATACAGTACAATATGATAGAGAGGTTGAGATTTTAAACGTGTACGTGTACATGTGTACAAACTTTGATGTACACGTACACGTTTTTTTGTAATTTGTCTGTTGAGATTTTAAAGACGTGTAACGTGAACATGTAGACTGTAATCGATGTCTCTGTTTCAACTATTTAGTAGTTTTGTGACATTAGTTTGACTTTAGTTAGTGAACAAAACATGGTTAAAATAAGTGTTCATGAAACTTAACATCCTAAATAATTAACAACAATAACAGTTTCACACATAAATTGACTAGTTTTTATTGAAAAAGCTACAAATTTACATCTACGTGTAGATGCCTTTTTACAAGTTGTAGGAACGTGTAGAAAACTTATCAACGCCAAAACTGGTGACGTAATATGCAAGAAATTTAGGGAATTCCCCTACTAGACGTACCCGTACACGTATGAAATCTCAACCTCTCTATTATGTTTGAAGTACATCTTCAGTAGGGATATTGTAAATACAATATGTAAGTAAATTTTGCTAGAAAAATTTTGCAGAACATTTATAACAACACTTTATAACAAGATTATTTAAACCCACAAGGCTAATACTTTTATTATGCTACAAAGATTGGTAAAAGTACCCCTGGTACACATGATTCCAGTCCAAATAAAAAAGTTGCAAATTTATATGTACATCTATTAGTTATTTTTATTTACCAATAGAATGCCCGTGACAAGGTTCTAAAGGGGGCTGTAGTAGGAAGAACTTCTTCTCCCATTCCTAAACGGTCAACAGGTAACATTTTGATTTTTTACTGATTACAACTTCTAACTGTTAAATTAAAATACATAATTTGCATTAGAGCAATAGTCTACATTTGTTTTTGAGCTTTACATTATAGACTTTGTTTGAGGGTATGGAATTTTATCATTAAAGTTCAAGAACAATCTTCACGTTATTGATGTACATGTATATTACTGTATACAGCAACATTCAGCTTACATTATTTTCATTACAAAAGAAGAGCCATGTAAGATTCATTTTTGTCAAAGTCCAAATTCTGTGACTTTAGCTGCAAGTAGAACAGTGAACCACTACCTTGGTAAAGATCCAGATGCTGCACCGATGAGTCAACCAATTGTGCCAAAGCTGTCCAAGGAGCTCTCCGCCAGACTAGGTGAAGTACCAGAATCAGGTAATCATTTTAGCATGTCTGTTACAATAACAACACAAGTACTGGGTTAAAAAAGCACTATATCAGCAGGGTAGTTATTGAAAGGAGTTAAATCTTTCAATTCAAATCAAACTTGAAGGTTGATAGATTGTTCCCCCAAAAAGGCTCTTTTGGATGTTGAAATTAAAAAAAAAACAATATGAGAACAATTTTTTTTATCTCTATAAATTGCACATGTATCAGCATGATCAAGGTTTGATTCACATCATGCTTAAGTGTACCGAGATATCAATAACATGAGGTTTGTGTAACATTACAAACCTAATCTTGTAGTTGAAATGTTTTATTACAAACTTACATTATATCAGTAAACTAAAAAGTTAGTTTTTTTCAACACAGATATAATAGCTCATTGTCATAAGAAAACACTTGAAACAAAAATATGTTAAATCATACTTTAGCTCTGTACATGAACTGTGGAACAGGGCTAGCCAGAAGACACAAATTAATGTCAAAAATTTTATTATTTTTTAAAATAAGTATAGTTCTAGCACTGTTTCATTATGCATAGATCTCCGAGAAATGTCACTGGTTGTAAATTTATGAAGTATGAATATATTTTATTATCTTAAGTTGTTTTAATACTACCACTGACTTTCAAAGCATGGTAATGTTAAAATGATGACCTGAAGGCTGAAATGCTACATAATTATTTTCTCTATTGTAGAATCTCCTAGATCTAACAATAATGTTGTAAAGTTAAATAAACGTCTAGAAGAAGAAGTGCCCGTCCCAAAGTCTCGACGTGTTTTACCTGAACACGAGGGCAGGTATAAAATTACCATGCCAGCTGGAACTACAGCAAAAACTCAGAAAATTTTACAACAGGGTGTCCCCACAGGTACATATAGCTTACATTAAAGAAACTGTGTACTATACATGTATTGATGGTAATCAATTGGGTCCCTTAAACTGCAAACAAGTTAATATTAATTTGTAAGAGTGATCATTATTGACATAGATTTGTTTTATCATACAGTTAATAAGTATTTTGTTTGGTTTGCCTTGCTGTTATCAGAATTACAAAAGATTAATGTGCAGATATTTCTAAGAATTCTACAGGTGACAAACCTCTGCTTGCAGTAGGTGATTAGATATTGAGAGAGATCTATTGAGGAAAACAAATGAAGATTGATATGTAAATGTGGAAGGGAGGGTGAGGATGGTTGATTTCATTCATCGATTTCAAACCACCATTATTCTAAATCTATACCTTAATAATAAATTTAATTCTTTCTGTATGGTGAGTTTTGAATTAAGTCTACTGATATTTGGCTTATTAGTCAAACTACACGTATGCTAGTCCAGCAATACATTTATATCCAAGGGGGCATGGTTTGTAAAGGCAATGCCTGCTGTCCATTCCAATTATGATTTATTATGCTTGTTTAAATGTATTCACTATTGAAGTACTGTACAAGAGCAAATGTTTTATGATTTTTCTCAATTTCTCTACCATGCAAATTGCACTTTTCTGTTGCACACTAGAATTATGTCTTTAAAGTAGATGTTGACTGTTGATTTTACTGACAACCTTCCCCCTCCTCCAATGAAGTTTTGGGGTATTTAAGAATCAGCTTGTGTTAAGATCACCCCAATGAAGTGGAAATGAGCTTATGCTATACCCATGGCATTGGCGTCAGCATTTAAAGTTTTAGGAGCAAGTCCATTTCCAAGTAACTATAAGCCCTACCTGGACCAGACTGACAGGGATGATGCATCTAGGAATACACACTCCAGACATACTTCAGATGCTGGATCTGATCTACATTTTTGGATGAGTGACCAGGTTAAAGTTCTTGGAGTAGATCCACTCCCAAGTATCTATAAGCCCTACCCAAATCAAACTTGCAAGGATGATGTATCTAGGGATGTACACTACTTGACCTGCTTTAGATTCTGGATCTGACCTACATCTTCCAGATTAGTGACTATAAGCTGTACCGAAGTCAAACTAGGATGGATGATGTCTCTAGGAATGAACAGTAGTAAAATTTCTTCGGATGTTGAATCTGACTTACCGGTACATTTTCCGGATAAGTGACCATGTTAAAATTCTTGGCTTAGATTCATTCCCAAGTAACTGTTAGCCCTACCTGGACCAAACTGGTAAAGATGTTGAATCAAGGGATGTACACTACCAGACTTGCTTCGGATGCTGGTTTTGACCTTTTTTGGATGAGTGAACAGGTTAAAATTTTGGAGCAGGTCCATTCCCAAGTAACTATATAATCCTTACCCAAACCAAACTTGCATGTATATTGATCTCTGGATGCACACTTACTAGAAAAAATTTGGTGTGAGATTTGCCTTACTTACGGATAACATTTATTGAGAGGATATGTGTAATCTTTGATTACCTATGTTTCTTCTATCCAGGGATGCACTGAAAATAATGTGAAGAATCATGATTATGTACTATAACATGTGTTAAGTGTGTTTTTCTGTATTTATTCAATTTTAGTCAAATACTGTGGTTGTCAAAAACACGAAAAAATTAATACATGGTCATATTTGTTGGCTGTTCTTAAGAAAACTGTAGCTGTGTATTGAACAAAATAATGTCATATTAAAAGGTGATGAGCCAACAAACATGCACTCCTACTTAATTTGACAAAAAACGTGTTTCAAACAAACTTGTCTCCTCCATTGTTATGACTGTGTTGACTTCGATTGACCTGTAGAATATAACAATCACCACATGGTGTCCAGCTGTGAGTGTGCTTGTGAATACAATTACATGTATTCTAAAACATGACCTGATCTAATTTAGGTCTTAGAATACATTGGGTTGGTCTGCCATTTAGCAGAATTGAGCAAATTGAATCTGTTGTAATAAATTTGTGTGTCCTCACAATATTTACCAGAGAAATCTTTTAATCAAACTGATACCATACACATTTTCAAATTTCTATAGATAGAGAGAGAGAGAGCTGATTGATAGTCCCGCCTCTTTTTAATATTGATTTAAGGTGATCTAAAAACCACTTCAGGTAGATGTCAAATTCTGGATGGCGGCTCTAATGTATCATTGCTTCAAATTTGATTCATGACACCAAGACATTGCTTTTGTACAAATGTTCTACCTACCGGTAATATAATCATGTACGTGTATATGTAGATCTTGCTATTGCTTATGAAATATTTTGGATTCACTTATTTACGGCTTGGGGGAGAGATCACAGAAAGACCCAAAATAGTGCATTAAGTCCGCTCATTCTTTAGAGTAACAGTAATCTTACTTATTATACTGGTACGTTATACTGTATCTTTTAGTTTTAGTGATTTTATCTAAGAATAGTATAAAGGGTTACTTATTATTTTGGGGTCAAATGACAAGACAAGCACAATTACAACAACATAATGTTAATCTAGAGAGTGTGATACTTACAGGAAGAAGGAATCCAAATGTCTTTGACAGACTTGGAGAAGAATCTCCAAAAACCACTGGTGCTGCTAAATCATCTTCACCGATCACAGTATGTGTGCAATAAATACAATATGTTTCTGTGGGAAATAACAATCATTCATATCTTTCTTGAAAAACATGATGTCTTTTTGATGTAAGTGAAGTAAATTTTTTTAAGGACAGTAGTATTTAAAGTATTACAACTGAAAACACTTCATGCCATTTCATATCACCATTTATGACTAAAATGATGTAGTGATGAATTTTACTTCTTTTATAACATCTAAGTAACATTAATGACATAACCAAATTTTTTTCCCATTTTGCTGTCTTAAGTTTGTATTTCAAAGTTTCACACAATTGATGCAAAATTTCTTAATGACACACATCTGTCTGAATTTTTGTGTAAATGTAAGACGTTTAGATGCTACAACTAAGAATTGCATCCTTGACAAGCAATACATTAATTAAAAATCTAATTTAAAATGAAAAAAAAAAACAAATACCTTTGCAATTTTTTAATAACATTTACATGTAATACTGTGTTTCTTTACAACTTAGTCCTCTGTATTCAATCGACTTGGTGGAAAGACAGCAGTGAAACGTCCAGCCACATCAACATCAGTAGAATTAGACTCCGATCTAGACGACCCTCCTCTGGAGTATGCGGGAATCCTCAAGGCATCACCGACACCGACCAAAAAGACGAAGGTCACCATCACAAACAATAAGAAGTATGCTTCGCTTGGGAAGATAACTATATCCAATAAAACTGTGACAAATGCTGCTGGAAAAACTGTGCAAAAGACTGTCACAACCAAAAAACTACTACTGACCAAAAAACCGGGTTAGTCACTTTATCATATACAATGTACATGTACTGTGTATTTTACTTGCTTTCACAATCATATAGTTTATCATGTCATATGGAATTTATGGATATTGTCAAAATTTAAATTTGAAGGTGAAAGCTAAAAAAAATTTCCATGAGTGCATGAGTTCATTTTGGGGGATGTTATTTCTTCCAATTCACATAGTTTTTAGGTCACCTGAGTCACTCAGGTAACTTATTGCTATATGTTTTTGTTGGTCTTCATGTTTATCCATCTTTCATAAACTTTTGAACATTTTCATCTTCACTGGACTGGTAGAACCAATGTCAACCAATTTTGGTCTTTAGTATAAGTAAAGGGGGACATAAATTGTGGATTTTATGGGTTTCTGCCTCCTTACCAGGGGGTTGAGGGTTGGTGCCAGAAGCATCAAAATTGATACAGTTTTTTTAAATTTTTTGATATTTTTCTTTACTCTTGCCCAAATAGCAGTCAGATTGTTGGCATGATTATAATACATGTACTTGTAAGTAATGAGCCCCTCCTACCAGAATTGTAGAAATCATTGCCCCATCAGGGTAGGGGCTTTGGTGTTAGGGTCAGGATCTTTTGAACATGTAGTGAACATGCATAAATTCTTTAAAAACCTTCTTCACTGCCCCTGTATATTAAGCAGAAACTAAATGGATGGTTATAAGGAGCAAATATTTCTTCCAAAATTGTGTAATTCATGTCCCCAAGGTCAATGATTTTAATGTCAAGGTGAGGCTCTGGTGAAAATTTCTTCTCTGCTTCAGAGTATCTAGCTGACAAGTGCATGGTTATGATGAGCAAGGATACTTCTACATAAATTGTGAATTTCTTGTCTCCTGGGTGTTGGGTTTAGGCGGGCTCTTTTGATCATACATTGAAAATGCAATAATTCTTTAGAAGTCTTCTCTTCTCTACTCCTGGGCATGGAACGTAGATGTAATGAGCATGGTTGTTTCTACCAAATTTGTGAAATTCATGTTCACTTGGTCAGGGTTTCTAGTGCTAGAACAAGACGTAATGATCACTTTGGAAAAATTTGAGAGAAGTTATTCCCCTTTAATTATCTAACCATGTTAATTAATCACAGTAAATGATGGTAAATGAGCATCCCCTCCCCCCAAACTCCAATTCATATCTTGAATGGAATAAAATATTTTGTAAACTGTTCAGAATACCAGATTTCTTTATCCTTGATTGCCCTATTTCTCTCCTTTTTTTGAGCAGCATATCTTCCTTTAGCACTCCATTTTGATTTATTTCTGCAGGGTCCATTACTTTTGTGAATTGTTACCAGTTTTTCTCCATCTCAATTTCCTTAAGTTTTTAACTGTCGATAGACATGAGGCTTGCCAAGTGTCTATTGATAATTGAAAAGTTAAGGAACTCCAGTTGGAGAAAACTGGTAACTAACAAACACTATCATGGAACCTTTTTCTCCCTTTACTCTACTAAATTTCTTCAAAATTCTCTGAACATTATTACATGTACTGAATGAAACACATATATATTACGTAGCACAATGTGATGTCATTGTAGGTATTTTCTAACATGATAAAAAAAAAGAATCAATGCAAGGGAACAATGAAACATATTGGCAGAAATATTATTATATGCCATGGATTCTATACAGAATTGTATTTTACTTAGGTAACCATTAAGGTCCTTAGGCTTCTTGTATTATATTCCTTATTGTATTTTAAATAATTACTCTTCACCGTGTCTATAAATCCAGTGACTCCCAGTCCACTATCATCATCAGCGGCTATGGATAAGGCAGGGGAAGGTACAAGTGTCAGACACAGACTGGGGAAAAAGGTGGGCCTCCCAGTGGTATCCAGCACCACCGACATTGTGGACACCCCAAAAGTTAACACAGGTAAAATCACCATAGATTAAATGTAATTTTGAAGTACTGGCATGTACCATAAACACATAATGGGTGATATAGCTACAGGATTAGTAACATAATGTGAAAGTGATTATAGATATAAATTTAGTATAAGTAAAATAAAATTTTCTGATTTAGCTACTTTTGTTTTGGAAATAATATTGCTGCAGTGTACTAGATGCTGCTTCTTTTTCCAGCAGGCATAACAAAAAGACTGGGCGGACAGAAATCTGATGTCAGTTCTAGCAGTGGTGTGTTCAGCAGGCTAGGAAAAGCTGTCTAACTCAGAGCAAGTGTAACTCATAGGTATACAAGATAGACAACAGTCTCACAGGCTACAGCATGGAGAGCTACATGTATAGATGATTGAGTATTATGGTGTAATCAAGTAAATCCCAAATATACATGAACATGTATATATAGAGTTCTTAGCAAGGGCATTATTACTTAGAATGGCAGTGCTATATAACCTTTGCATTGTTAATGAGCAGTATGAAGACATAGAGGGATATTATAGGTTTATTGTAAGTGTGGTAAATGTCAATGATTTTTTTTTTTATTATGGTTTGGAAAAGAATATATATGTACATGTATGTCGTTATTTTATTCTATACTACATGTATATGTTCATCATGACATTGGGTTTAGGAAATTCCCACAAAAATATCATGGTGCGTTATGTTTTGAACATATGTACAATGTACATTATGTTTTTGTACATTTCTTTTAAGAAAGTAATTGTTTGACATTACATTTTTATTTACCGGTATGCCAGCCAGCTTGAGTTAAATGGGGAGAATAATTTAACTTGACATACCACAGTAATATTAGATAAGAAGTAATTTCATTAATCATTTAAAATCTTACTTTTACACCTTATCAGTATTTTAAAGTGTTGTATACAAGAAACTAACTTTCCTCTGTTTGCAGCTATTGTGGGAATAGAAATCGCAAAAAAAAAAGTGTTCATTTCTAAAAAGTAAAAACAATCATGGCAGGAAGTCAGTGTGAACATGGAAGACATGTAAACTTATTAAAAAAAAATATAAACAAGGAAAATTGGTCACACTATACATCATTGTTAACTCTGAATTGCTGCAAACCATGAATATATAAAAATTATAATGTAGTAATTGCAGTGAGAATTAATGATTGTGTTTGTACATTTATGTTTATTTATCACATAGGAACATGTTCTTACTGTTCAATGTGTATCTTACTGTTAAATGTGTACAGAGCAGCTGTATTGTGTTAAGAGACTTGTTCCTAAATCTACCAGGGCCATAGTACATGTACATTTGGACTTTAGACTTAAAAGTAATTGAAGGGTTGTTATAAGGGGGACTTAATGAACAGGTTTCTGAGATTTCCTTTTATATCTGAATATGGTTGTTTTATTAAATTGTTCAATATTGTTTCAATTTACTAAATATTATTGATGGGTCACTTTACTAAATATATAAGGGCCATATATAAAAAAGAATTTATAAGCAATAGAAAGCTGGAAGTAGTGTAGTAATATTAATTTATTAGCACTCTGCAATGAAGTAATTGGTGAAGTTGTTGGTGAAGTTGTCCTCTTAGAACATGGTTGCTTTTTTCTTTACAATGATTTTGTTGACTTTATTCTGTACAAAAATTTTGTTGTATTAAATTTATTGTATATGATGCCGTAGAAATTGATTAGTTAATCATATAAATCTGTCTCAGAATAAAGATGTCAGAATCTCCAGTTGACAATTTTAACTGTAATAACAGACCCTAAACTTTGTGACTGTCCACAGAACAGTGAGTTATTCCCAGATTTTTGTTTTAAAATATGGATTACAGATTGACCTCCAAAAGTTATGCTTCCATGTTATGCTCCAAATTTTAATTCTTCCTTAAATACACTTATATATAGATATTCATGTTGTGGTTTAGCATGATACATTCTTTCAAAATGGATATTAATGTAACAGTAATTTTTTTTTTCATTTTAAAGTTTCTAATATACATTAAAAAATAAAACATAAAATTGTTTCACTTGAAATTCATTATTTACTGTAAATCACAATTTATTTATGAGAACTTGAATTTTGCAAAATTTCAAAGGAACAAAAAGTGCTAGTGAATATTTTAACAAGAAAATATGCAAATTTTGTCGTACAAAGGATACTCAAAAATTAAGTGTCATGAATAAAAACAGTTTTTGTCTCTCAAAGTATAATACATGTATATTCACTATGTAATTCACAGTACATGCAATTCATAGAATGTTAACTCATTTTGTAAATGAAATGTTTTGTGATCCTAAAAATAACTTGAAAAATGAATTAAATAAATATTATTCTGTTTTTATTTGACTTTTTATTTGCATATATACTTCTTGTATTGCCTGCAATGCAGAGGAACTGTATTGAAAAACTGTTATCAGTCACATGATATACAGTTTCCTTTCAAGAACTAGGGCATTGATATTGATGTGTATAGCTTGTCACAAAATCTATCAAAATAGTATGAAGATACAGTGATGTTTATTTATCTTTTACTCACTAATCAGAAATTTTTCATACTCTGAAAACATGATATAAAACTGCAAATAGATCAGAATTTTTAGCTCACCTGTGTCACTCAGTGAGGTATTGCTATTTGTGGATTTTACTTTTCAAGCAGACAATATCATGAGAGAAATGATTTCCTTAATAAATCATCTATTTTCTCAGTACAGATCTGTCAGTTTCTTGGTACCAACAAAATCTAAAAAGACATTTTCCTACGAAAGATGTAACTTTTCTTGTCACAGAAATTCTTCTGAAAGCCTTCACACACCTCAGAAAGTGAAGGAGGATGAGTTTGTTTATAGGTAAAAATGATGATTGTGGATTGACAAGAATGAAATACACTCTCTTTTCCAGGGATGAAGGCAATTTAAAGAATTTCTTGGGAAAATAATGACAACATTAACGGAATGTCTTCAGAACTTTTTGGTATAAAATCCTTTGAGATAGGCCATTTTACAAAAAGAAGTCCAAAGAAGAGCACATTTTGCATGAATTTTTAGCTCACCTCAATGAAGTTGGGGCAGCCTATGTTATATTGGTGTTGGTGTTGGCGTCAGCATCCCAGGTTAAAGGTTTTGGAGCAGATTTCTTTTTAAGTACTTCTAAGCCCTTCATTGATTAGAGATGCATGTATGATGCTTTCAGTATGTTTCATTGTACCAGTCCAGTTTTCTGCATTTTTAGCCAAAGAATGACCAGGTTAATGTTTTTGGAGTAGGTTAAAGTTTTTCTAACAGTTCTCAATGCCAAGTAACTGTAAGCCGTATATTGACCAAACTTGCAGGGATGTCACATCTAAAGATGCACACTTCCAGTCTTTTTGCTTTGGATGCTGGATCTGACCTACATTTTAACAGAAAAGCAAATTGGAGCAGATTCATTCTTAAGTAACTATAAACCCTATATTGACCAAATCTGCATTATTGGATGATACATCTAAGGATGCACAGTACCAGACTTGCTTCGGGTGCTGGATTTGACCTACTTTTTCCAGATGAGCAACCAGTAGGGATGTACGATTTTAACCATATACCAGTATATGGTGATTTTGTTTTGGGTAATACGTATTGTGATACGGAGACTAAAATACTGGTATTTAGTATGTAATTATAAATTAAAGAAATAAATTAGGGTTTTTATGCCCCACTATGAATATGGCCAGGGCATATAGTGTTTGTCATGTCCGTCTTCCGTCCTTCCATCCTTCCATCTGTTTTTCCATCACACTTTGCGTTTAGCTCTGTTCAAAGCTCAGTTTCAAAGAAACTATCCAAGATATTTTTATCAAACTTCATATGCTGATAGATATTGATGAGAGCTATGCAACTGCATCAACACTTTTTTACCTTGACCTTTCATTTGACCTTGACCTTACTTTCCTTAAATTAGTGTTTAGCTCAGTTTTAAAGATACCATTCGAGGTAGTGTAATCAAACTTCATATGTTAATACATACTGATGTAAGCTATTCAACTGCATCAACATTTTTTGACCTTGACCATTCCTTTGACTTTTACCTCACTTTTCTTAAATTAGTGTTTAGCTCAGTTTTAAAGAAATCATTCAAGATATTTTTATCAAACTTCATATGCTGATACATACTGGTGAGAGCTTTTCAACTGTATCAATATATTTTTTACCTTGACCTTTCCTTTGACCTTGACCTCACTTTTCTTAAATTAGTGTATAGCTCAGTTTTAAAGATACCATTCAAGATACTCTAATCAAACTTCGTTTGTTGATACATACTGTTGTAAGCTTTTCAACTGCATCAACATTTTTTGACCTTGATCTTTCTTTTGACCTTGACCTCACTTTTCTTAAATTAGTGTTTTGCTCAATTTTAATGAAATCATTCAAGATAGGTAATTAAACTTCATATGCTGATACATACTGGTGAGAGCTTTTCAACTGTATCAATATATTTTTTACCTTGACCTTTCCTTTGACCTTGACCTTACTTTCCTTAAATTAGTGTTTAGCTCAGTTTTAAAGATACCATTCGAGGTAGTGTAATCAAACTTCATATGTTAATACATACTGATGTAAGCTATTCAACTGCATCAACATTTTTTGACCTTGACCATTCCTTTGACTTTTACCTCACTTTTCTTAAATTAGTGTTTTGCTCAATTTTAATGAAATCATTCAAGATAGGTAATTAAACTTCATATGCTGATAAATACTGATGAGGGCTATTCAACTGCATCAATATTTTTTTACCTTCACCTTTCCTTTGACCTCGACCTTACTTTTCTTAAATTAGTGTTTAGCTTATACAAGTTTTAAAGAAACCATTCAATATAGTGTTGTCAAATTTCATATGGTGATACATACTGATGAGAGCTATTCAACTGCATCAACATTTTTTGACCTTGACCTTTTTTTACCTTTCCTTTGACCTTGACCTCACTTTACTTAAATTAGTGTTTAGCTCTGTTTTAAAGATACCATTCAAGATAGTGTAATCAAACTTCATATGTTAATACATTCTAATGTAAGCTATTCAACTGCATCGATAATTTTGACCTTGACCTTTTGTTTGATCTTGACCTCACTTTTCTCATGTTTTAAAGAAACCATTCATAATATTTTTTATCAAACTTCATATGCTAATACATACTGATGTAACCTTTTCAACTGCATCAACATTTTTTTACCTTGACCTTTCCTTTGACCTTAACTTCATTTATTTGAAAATGCTGTTTAGCTCAGTTTTAAATAAACCATTCAAAATTTTTTTTATCAAACTTAATATGCTGATACATATTTGTGAGAACTATTCAACTGCATCAAAAACATTTGACCTTGAACTTTCCTGTTACCTTGACCTCACTTTTCTTAGATTTGAATTTTACTTAATTTTAAAGAAATCATTTAAGATATATTTATGTAAGCTTATGCACTAATACATAATTTGGTAAAAATTTATCATCTATATGCAACTTTTTAGATTTCAATTTCAATTTTAAAGAAACTATTCCAGATATTCTCATCAAATTTCATGCACTAATACAAATTTTCATTTTGCATTACATGTACTAATATACCCTCGGTGGGGCATTTATCCTATAGACATATTTCTAGTTAAATATTTTTCATATATCTTTCAATGTTAAACTTTGATTCTCTATTGTGACCCCCCACCCCCCGGGGGGCCATGATTTGTCTACTCTACCCCAGGAAGCTTCCATATAAGTTTCAGTAGATTTTTTACAAGATTTTCCCCATATATTTCAATATTAAACTTTGATTCCCTTTAGTGGCCCACCCTACCCGCAGGGGTCATGATTTTTTTAATACTTCGGAATCTACAGTACCGCAGGAGGCTTCCACATGTTTCAGCTTTTCTGTCCCAGTGGTTCTGAGAAAAAGATTTTCTCTATATATTTTTCAATGTTAAACTTTGATTCCAAGATCAATAGATCAGAAATGTTGGTATCTCAAAAAAGATCTTGTCTTAAAAAATATACAAATAAAATATAATTATCCTAGCACCAATCGTTGAAAAGTTATGGCGAAGGTTACAAGTTTTCCAAAGTAGGTCAAATGTCAAGGTCATGGTGAAATGTCAAATTTAATGTGCCCAAGAGAAGGTTTTTGTCACGAGATATACACACATGGAATATGAAAGCCCTAGCACCAGCCGTTTAAGGTGAAGTGTTTTTTCCAAATTAGGTCAAATTCAAAGGTCTAAAACATTAGGAAAAAAAAGGTCAAAACTGTTGTATCCAAGAAATAATCATGTCATAAGACATACACTTGTGAAATATGTATGAAAGCTCTAGCACACTAACCATTCAAAAGTATGGCCAAGGTTAAAGTTTTTAAAGTGGGTAAAATGTCAAGGTCATAAAGTCAAATTTTCTGGTATCCAAAGAAAGGCTTTGTCGTAAGGAATACACCTGTGAAGTATGAAATTCCTAACATCAATAGTAAATTTTCTACCAAGTCTTCATGAAAATATTAATAGCAGTGAAGGAGAAACTCTAGAAGTACTGTACAACAGTATATTTGAGAAGTGGTGTTAATCAGATGTGGATACATGCACTTTTAAAACTTCAAAGAACTGTTAGAAAATTTGAAACTTAAAATTTTAACGAAATTAATAAAATCAAAACGAACAACTTTTCAACATTTTATACAAACATTCACCACAATAAATTAAAGTTCAGGCTTTTTGAAATCATGGACAACTGCTTCTTCAATGAAAATGGACCATGTAAATTTGTGTACCTTGTCATTGGTCATATTCTGACTTACTGTGCTCCAAAACCTTCTAATTCTAGACACAGTTACTCCAAAATTATTATTAAAAAGATATTTGATTTTCTAATTTACATTATATATTTTGTTTTTAGCGACCAGGCCTTCCAACAATCTATTGGAATTCTCATGGGTACTAATTGTGGCCCATTATTAGCAGACCTGTTTTTGTATCCAAATGAAGCAGAATTAATGCAAAATCTTCTTTGTGGAAAGAAGAAGCCCCATACCATGGCCTTTAATTCGATTTTTGTTCCCACTGTCTATGAAAGTGGGGAATATTAATTTTGTTCTGTCACTCTGTCTGTCCGTTTTGGTGTATTTCTGTCTGTGTGTAGCACTTTCGTTTCCGGAAGACATCTCAAGAAGCCTTTGAGCTTTTGCAATGAAATTTTATGTTACAAATTCCTGTGGCCTAAAGAAGACCCATATTAATTTTGATGTCAAAAGATTAAAGGTCAAGGTAATCGTTTCCGGATTATATCTCAAGAAGCTTTTAAGCTTTTGCAATGAAGTTTAATATCACATCTCC